TTCACAAAATAACATAAAAACTTGCTCTAAAATGACATATTTTCAAGTGTGATTTATAGATAGACAAAACCATAAGTATGATTTTTCCATTCTGTTAACAGTTATCCAACATTTATTCATCTTTTTGTCGAACTTGTATTTTCTTTGTTTTTAAATTTTTTAATAGATAAGGTTACATAAAAATAGCATATATTGATTAGAATAGAAAGTATTGTCCAAAAAAAAAGGACATATTTATTGCATAGTGAAATCTTAAATATTTTAACTTGAAAAAAAAATATATTTTTTTTCTCGTAATCCCAATAAAAATAGCTTGTTTCATCACAATTGATAATTATGAAGTGGAGAAAATTGTTTTTCAGAAATTTTTATGTACAGTACATGGATTATTCAAATTAATGTGTCATTAGTAGTTAATAACAAACAATTAATTAATGCATAATTAAAAATATATTTGTGCAGATTTGTCCCTGCATGTTTCAACTTTCAGTCAGTTATATTTTACTAATGTTTTTACCATGGAGATGGTTAACAAAAAAAAAAAGTTAAATAAATAAAAATGGGTGATTTAATTAAGAAAGATTTTACAAATTTAAATGTGTATAATATCACTTAATTGTAGTCTTCCAGCTACTGCCTGGTAACAACAATGCATTCTTAACTCTGATGTTTAGATTACATATGTACTCTTTTGTTTATATATTTTTTGCTGTTGAGGCTATACACTTGTTTACACAGCTGTTAAGAGGTCAACAACCTATATTTTGACATTAAAAATAATGGAAAAAATTGAAAAAAATTATTTATAACCTGCTGAGAATTGAAATGTATTGTGCATCTAATCATGAAAAGGAAGGTATAAAGAAACAAAATTTTATACAAAATATGGTCTAGGGACTAATAAAACACCAGATTCTCAGATCTGCTATACAAATATATATCCAATCTGAAATACAAAGATTTTTTATTGAAAGTTGAAAAACTTCAAAACATGCCACTCATGAAAAATGACTTGGCATTTTGTGTTAATGTTATGTCACAATAAATCTCTTATTATACATTTTTCTTGTTGTTTAAGTATGGAAAATGGTTTTGTATGTGTTTTAATGTTTGAAGTATGGTTCAAATAGAGTTTGCAATAATTGCTTACAATAATAGTGAAATGATAACTCAAGGGAGATTAAATTTTGTTTCATTATTTTTATTTTTTTAACATTCAAAAAATACTAAACTATTTTTTTTTTGTTTATGATTACAGAATACAGGTAAGTTATATGTATAAATTTTCTTTCAAATAAAAAGTTATTTCCTAAATTATCAAGACTTTTGTTTTGGTCTACAATTGTAATCCACACACTTACTCTTCTAATAACTGTGTTAGGGGCACCCTTTTTTTTAACATTAAAAGTTTTGAAAATATGCTTGCTTATTATATGCTTGTTAATTGTATTTGTTCATTTGGTTATTTTACTCCAGTAAAGCAATTTTAATTTTTTTATTTAATCAATCTTTATTGTGAAGTTTGGAATTATTATATATTTGTTTCTATATGTAGAAAACATGTTTTTTTTTTTAATATGAAAATAAACAAACTATTTGTTTAAAGATATACATGTTAAAATGTCTGAAGTATTTCATTGCATAAATATCAATTCACTGATACATGAACTGAATTTATATTTAAATTTTCATATTAAGAAATATATTTATTAATTTTTTTTATCAAATGTTTCATTAAAAATATTTTGAATTGGGTTGAAAATGAAGAAAATACAGTGGGTGATCAGTTAATGAACATAATCCATTCTTAACCGATTATTGATTTACCATAGGTTTTTATGGGAATTTGATTAATTCATTCTGAAGACTACAAAAAATAAAAAATATATACGTGTTTACTACATTTATTTATATGTAATAGTAAAAATACATATATGTATGTATGTATTTTTAGTATTACATATAAATAAATGTAGTAAACAAGTATATATTTTTTATTTTTTGTAGTCTCCAGAATGAATTAATCAAATTCCCATAAAAACCTATGGTAAATCAATAATCGGTTAACGAACAAGTCTTGGAATGGATTATGTTCATTAACCGATCACCCACTGTATTTTCTTCATTTTCAACCCAATTCAAAATATTCAAAATATGCAAGACTGCATATATATATATGCAGTCTTGCATTTTTATTAGTCATGTCTTTTTCCATTTGTGGGGGTTAAAGAATCTGTCTAATGTCAATTGCTTTTCTCTTTTCTTCAGGATTTTTCGGAAGTAATTAATAGTATTGTAATTGTAATCCGCAACCCCGTTAACCATATTCTGGTTTGAATGCCACTTGGATGGTTTTTGTTCTGACATCCTCCCACTTCAAAAGATCTTTAGTAGCAGATATCGACATTGGTTCTCTTTCATCTTCCTCTTTTTTCAAAAGAAAACACATCTCGCTGAGTTTCTTGGTATTCTTCATTTGAGAGTTCTTGGAGTTCTTCTGTTATCAGATCAGTTTCAGTTCCATTATGAGTTCTAAAATGCTCTTTATTTCTTAGATGATTTTCATTATTCCATTAGCAGCCTGAGACTTCTTGATATATCTTTCATAGCTAAGATTGTGTCTACTGTAGACCTGTTCAAGCCATAATGCCTTAGCAACATCAGATATCTTGTGCCCACTTTCTATCTTGGCTATTATCTCTTACTTGGTTTCTATGGTGAGCACAGTTCTTGACACTCCTCTTTTTAGGCTCCATAATGTTATCAGTTTCTTTTTTAAATAAACATTCAGAAAAGCACTTACAAAAATTCAGAGAACAGAAATCAACTAGCCCACAAAATTTATTTAAATGCAAGGCCCGGATGAAATTTGGTATTAAAATGTTAACAAATATCTGATGGGACAGTTAAACTTTCACCTTTCGTAAATAAATGCTGATGCAAAACTTAACAAGTGCCCGTCCGACAGTCTTGCGAAGACTATAAAAAATTATTTGTCAGAAAGGTAAACAAAAGGCTGAAATTATAAGGGAGAGTTTCAAAATTCGGAGGAATATTAATACTATCTGATCAGTAATGGGTTGAGCATCAATGTTGATGTCTCGTGTGCTCCGGAAGGTTTTGAATTGTTACCTGAAGACAAGGGAAAATCAATTGATATTTGTTATTTTCCATCACTTCCTTCTGTGTTTGTTCAGTAAAGTGTTCGTTATTCGAACATGTGTTTGTTGTCCGATCATAAAAATATTTTGCAAAAGTGTTTGTTATCCGATTTGTTCGCTATCGAATCACCCACTGTATGATGATTTTTATAAAAGTTAGTGTGAAAAGAAAACTTGCATTCTTTCCACTCTATAATTTAAAATAATATTTTGAAATTTAAATTGTTAAACTAGACCTAGTATTCCACTCAAAAGTACCCAATTTTTATTTGCCATAAAAAAAACAATTGGTTTAAGATATATATAAAAGCAACAAGTGGCATCTAGTGAGACAAGTCATCAAGTTTTAGAGAGATTTTTTTTTTGTACTGCAAGATGGTGCAGGAATCAAATCATGAGCATTGTTGTCAAGTCATGACTTTTCCACAGGAGAAAGTGCAGGTCATTGTCTGATATGCCCAATAGTGTGACCACCAACATTCCCTTTAGATTTCTTTCTGTGGGATTATGTAAAAGATATCATCTATGCAACTTCAGTCAGAGACCTTTAGGATAATTACAGTGAGTCACAGTGAGATAGCACATGCTACAGCATACATAGCAGGAAATTGCCTACTGCCTTGAAGATGTCACTGACTGCTGTAGCACATGTAGAGATGTGGTGATTTTTCAATGAAATCTCATGATTTTTTTCTCTCATATAAAATTTTTGGTGAACTTATATAAATCTTTAACTGCTAATTTTTTATACCAAATCAAATTGGATACTTTTAAGAACACCCCATATTTTAAATGATGTAAATGTATCACTCATTTTAATTCAATGTTTTAAGATGTATGGTGAAAACTTTAAACAATACAGGCAATACATTGGAAAATAAGTAAATTAAGGGTTTTTAGATAAATAAATCTGTCAATTTTCACTGTTAATATAATTGTTTAAATGTTTAAGTATTTTAAATAATATAATTTTTTTTCTTAAAACTATTATTATTTAATTTCTTCCAAATAATATTTGAAACTTTTAGAGATTTTGTCATCGTTTAACACATTCTTGAAATATTTTCTTAGGTTATTTTCTCCTGTTAATTTCAAATGATTTTCTATAAAAGGAAAGTTACTTTTCCTAGCATTTTTCAGTAAATCTTTTGCACTATTTTCTCATTGTTGTCATTTGAAACAAGTTTTAATATTTCTTTTTAACTCTTATATAGAATTGTATTTTACATTTTTGATATTACAGTCGACCCCCCTATAACACTGTTGATTATTCCATTTTATATGAATTCCATGTTGTATGAGTCACTTAGATTTTACGAATACGTGTGCCGGGCTGTGAACGGCTCATGTATTTGTAAAATCTAAGTGACTCGGACAATATGGAATTCATATAAAACGGAATTATCAACAGTGTTATAGGGGGTCGACTGTATTGCTCACATTCATTTTTTCCTAACTAAGATTGATTTTTCAAGTGAATTTAGCAAGCCTGGCAGTCTATTTAGTTCACTATAGTTGCTGCAATTGTGATATTTTTTAAGAAATAGAAGACAACAAGCTCTTATCAATTATGTGAAAGTTGAAAAGTACAATTCAACATATGATCATTGCAAGTAAATCAATGAAAGTTTTTTGGAACAGATTCTCTCATATAATCTATAAATTCAAACACTTTTTTTAATGAAAGTATTAGAAAAAATACAGGCTGTTTTTAAGTTTTAGAAAAACCTGGAGGTTTATTTTTCTGAGATTGAATAGTTATCCTATTATAATTAGGATAGTTGATTATGATTCTTTATTTGTAATTTCAAATAACTTACTGTTGGTTTATTTTTATAGATGTCAAGAAGAGCACCAAAGACACAAAGAATTGGCAAAGACACAAGATAAAAATGGTTATTTAAGAGGATTTGCTTTATTTATGGCAGAATTATTTTCACAACTTGAGGTAAAAATCTTATTAATATTAATGATGACAAAATATTTTATAATTTTTATATACATACCAAAATTTTTTTGTTACCAATTTTTTATTGTTTTATTATTTGGATATTTAATTTATCATGTTTAAATTATTATTTCTTGTTTTGTATTCTTTACAATTCTAAACAGATTTATTTCAACTATAATTATCTACTAGCAGATGAATGCAGTGTTGCCTGGGCAAAAAATAACAAGAAAGATTAAGATTATTAGATTATTTTGTACTTCTAACCCTTCTGTTTTATTATATTATAGTGCTGTAAAACCTGTGTATGGTGACCACACATGATTCGTTTCAAAAAGTGGTCATCCAATACAGGTGGTGCTGTAATGCCATATTTCCATATGTATTTTGTGCACTTTTTAGCCATTTCTACTGAGCAGAACTCGAGGTGAGCAAAAATAAGCAAATATTTTCAACAATAGAGCTGTATTGGTATTGTATTTTATTCTTTTGGTATCATGTGTTTTATTCTTCTGGTATTATACTTATAAAATCACGACTCCTGTTACTCGATAACTCGATTAACAGGAGTCATTGTGATTTTATAAGATTTAATACCAGTATTTGCATTTTCTTGATTATAATGCACAATTTCTTTTTTCCTACTTAATTAATTCGACTTGGTTCTCTTCGTTTGCTCCTGAGTTACATGTATTACTTCGATATAGAAGCGCAATGTATCTCTCCACCACTTTGGTTTTGCTTTCATTAGTTTCATCTTACAATCTCTCTACACACCGGTGTTTAAATAAAATAATAAACTCTTCAAACCTTTAACCGGAGTGCTTCTATTTTTAGAATTGCGAACGTTTTCGTCTCCCCTCCTGGGCTCTTCTTCAGGCTATAACGAATGGGCCTTTAATATTCAAATAAACATTCGATATGAATCTCTTCCAAATTCTATCATTTGAAATTGTTCCGAAGTTGTGTTGCGCATGCTCCATATTCATCCCTTTAAACGCTGTTATCTATCAAAATCTCTTCCGAATTCTATCTTTGTATTGCGCATGCTCCATACTCATCTCTTTAAACGCTGTTATCCAGCAAAATCTTCCATGCTATCGATAGGGCCATTTCATCTTTATAATTAATACACGTGCCGTTTCTTCCCGCCTTAAATATCTCCATGGCCTCTAGCCATTTTAGTTGTTGAGGGTTGGAGTTGGTTTTAATGATTTTTGCCGCGCGCAGGTCCGCCGTTATTTCCTGTTCCGAAGAGTATGTTGCCAGGGCCGTTGTGTATCTACCTTGCTGTATATCTGACTCATGTTCTTTTAACCTCACTTTTAACGAACGCTTCATGGAACCAATATATGTCAGTTGTCTATCATATCTTTTGTCTTCTAGCGGTACTGCGTATACTCCTGGGAGTCTTTCAGGGTTAGGCCGGTCTTTGCCATTAGCTAGTATCCTGAAGACAGTTTGACACCTTCTGTATGCTATATTTATGTCTCTTCTTTTGGCTATCATGTTTTAGACTGATTTCAGTATCGGATTATATGTTATAGGTATCCTCTCTTTTTCTTGATCAGGTATATTCAACGGTGGCCCTGCCTGATCAATGGCTTTTAGGGAAATGTCAAAAAAAAAAAAAATGAGAGGATACCTATAACATATAATCCAATACTGAAATCAGTCTACAACATGATAGCCAAAAGAAGAGACATAAATATAGCATACAGAAGGTGTCAAACTGTCTTCAGGATACTAGCTAATGGCAAAGACCGGCCTAACCCTGAAAGACTCCCAGGAGTATACGCAGTACCGCCAGAAGACAAAAGATATGATAGACAACTGACATATATTGGTTCCACAAAGCGTTCGTTAAAAGTGAGGTTAAAAGAACATGAGTCAGATATACAGCAAGGTAGATACACAACGGCCCTGGCAACATACGCTTCGGAACAGGAAATAATGGCGGACCTGCGCGCGGCAAAAATCATTAAAACCAACTCCAACCCTCAACAACTAAAATGGCTAGAGGCCATGGAGATATTTAAGGCGGGAAGAAACGGCACGTGTATTAATTATAAAGATGAAATGGCCCTATCGATAGCATGGAAGATTTTGCTGGATAACAGCGTTTTAAAGAGATGAGTATGGAGCATGCGCAACACAACTTCGGAACAATTTCAAATGATAGAATTCAGAAGAGATTCATATCAAATGTTTATTTGAATATTAAAGGCCCATTCGTTATAGCCTGAAGAAGAGCCCAGGAGGGGCGACAAAAACTTTCGCAATTCTAAAAATAGAAGCACTCCGGTTAAAGGTTTGAAGAGTTTTTTATTTTATTTAGTTTAATCTTATTTTGACTTTAAAAAATGCTGTATTTTTTTAAAACAATTTAATTATTTCTTATCATAATACGATTTGTGAGAATACGGACAAGGGTTAAGGCCCTCTAATCGTCAGATCCTTTAGACCTGCTCACTTTGTCACTGGATGGCTTATTCTAACAGAATCCGAGTGGTAAAATTCTGTGTGGGGTTCAGTTGTGCATAGTCAATAAATACTAAACTAAGAAGGTCATATAATATAAAAATCAACAATTTAATCACAGAAGACCAAAATAACATGGACAAGTAAATAAACAACATAACATAAAACATATGTCTAATCTATGACTAATCAGTATGAGAGAGAGAGAGTTTACAATAAAATCATATTACCTCTGTTTCGTGGTAGGGCAGTATCTGGAGGAGACTATATAGCTAGATCATGGATGAACTGCCTTTACATGGCACTTCTCTCTGGGATGAACTGCCCCGAGTGTGTGGAAACCTCCCCTTTTATTACTGAATATTTCCCAATTCCCATTCTTAGAAGGGCATGCGTTATTGTGACATTCAGATAGGTGCATGATCCCAAATCCCATTCTTAGAAGGGTATGCGTTATTGTGACATCTGATGGGATGTGTTATTGTGACATTCAGATAGGTGTTTTGAAAAATTTAAGATAAGAGGTGTAAGAAGGAAGGAAAACATCATCATTTCTGAATAAAGGTTGCATTATAGAGCATGTTTTCAGGATGTTGAAGTTTTGTAATTTTTTTTTTTTTTTTTGTTTAAAACTTTAATAGAATTTTTAAACAAATTTAGCTTAATGTATATTGATATAGAATGCAAATTATGCAAATTAGATGGGTATCCATCCAGATTCTCACAATTTCATTACATCAATGATAATTGCGAAATCAAAAAAGGAAGGTTGCTTGTAAAACTGATTTTTGTGTTAATGCATGTTTATTGTTTTTTGAATATTAGGGCAACTGGAAAGTAATGTCGTTTTTTACATTAAAATCTAACAAATACATTTTTAACTTGTTTTTATTTTTAATCAATGATGTAATCACCCTCGTTATCAACAACCTTTTGCCAACTAGTGTGCAAATTTTCAATGCTTGATCGATAAAAATCAATTGGTTTTTGAGCAAAATATCTGGAGATGGCATTTCAGATATCATCCAAATTTTCAAATTTTTTGTCACATAGAAAATGTTGTAGCGATCGGAATAAATGGAAATCCAATGGCGCAATGTCAGACAAGTATGGTGGGTGAGGCAGTACCTCCCACCCCAATTCATTAAATTTTTCCAGGGTTCGTCTTGTGCAGTGTGGTCTTGCATTATTGTGTTGCAGAATAATGCCTTTTCTGTTGACAATCACTGGACACTTTTCAATTAAAGATCAACTCGATCCAATTGTTGCAAAGGTTTGCATTCACAGTTTGTTCAGGTTTCAGCACTTCAAAATGAACGATTCCGCGAATACTCCACCAAACACACAAAAGCACCTTTTTGGGATATAAACCTGGTTTAGCAGTACTTTGTGGTGATTCATTCGGACAGAGCCACTGCCTTTTGCATTTTGGGTTATCATAGAGGACCTATTTTTCATCTCCAGTGATCAAGCGATCAAAAAATGCTTCTGTATTGTGCCATTGAAGCAATAAGTTGCATGTGGTGGATCAGTTAGCTTTGTTTTCTTTGGACAGATTATGCAGGAATCAAACACCTGCTCTGCATACTTTACCAATCTGCTGCAAATGTTCTTGGATAGTCGATCAAGGTTGGTTAAGAGTGTTTGACAGTTCCCTGATTGTCTGACACGGATTTGCTTCCACTTCCGCCCTTAACATGTCATTGTCTAAAGTTGTTGGTCTTCCTGATTGATACAAGTCAGAAAGATCAAAATTACTGGATCTGAACTTAGAAAACCACCATTGGCATTTATGAACCTCTAATGCACTTGAATAAACATCGCAAATGTTTTTGGTAGCAACTGTTGCATTACTATCTTGTGAAACTCAAAAAGCATACAATGTTGGATATATACTACTTCTGGTATTTGGCTGGCCATTTCACCCAAAATTGCAAAACAAATTTAAGATTTAATTATTTACAAGTAAACAAGTCACTTTAATCTTAAAATGTCTTTCTCACGGCTTTGAAGTATACAATGAGCTGATAAATGATAAACAAGTATTGACATGTGCAGAAACGACATTACTTTCTGCACATTATTTACTAATATTTTGTGTGCAAAAATTACTTGGATATTATTTTTTTTAAATCTCACAAAAATAAGGTAGGTTGATACAGAAACTGTTTATCATACATGTACTGTGTGCAAGCTNTGTATATAAGCTCAAAAAAAAAAAAATAAAATAAATTATATCAAACGATGAGATCAGCTGATTAAGTGTATCGTGTACAATATTTTTATACCCCTAAGGAAAATACTGTAGGTTTACAGTACAATAAATTGTGTTTTCCCACAGTTAAACTTTGCCACTAATTGCTGTTGTGATAAACCATTTTCACTTTCTCTGATAACTTTAACACAATCTTCTAACAACAGCACTTCATATTTCTTTAGTTTTTCAGACATTTTCGAACACACTGAAATGAATTTCCTTTGTAGCTGGACTAATCCATTAACATCTACACCTAATTTCAAGAGTGGGAGAAGTGTCCAAAGTGGATTCAAACAAGAGTTTAGGCTAATTCATTGTACTAGGAGGGGGAAACATTGTTGAGATGGATTTGAACAATAGTTTAGACCAGATATATTTGCAGAAGTGGTTGTTTATTACAGTTGTTGTATGTTGTTTCTGACCAAAAATTGATGCCAGCGGTCACGTTACACAGGTGGTCGTTCAATACAGGTAACTTATATGAAGACTCTATGTATAAACTATTCTATGCCAGAAATTTTTGTCCATTTTGACAAGTACCCATCGAATGCAGGTGGTTGCCTAAGCAGCATTTACTGTATTTGATTTATATAAGTACAAAGGTTATCTTACATAAGGGTTTATTGCACCAAGTGCCCAATCTAACATATTTAAAAACTTTTTTAAATTGCTGTGTCATTATACGCTTGCTTTAACTCATGTATCTTGATCATTGTAATGTTTACAAAGTTGTTTTTTTTTTTTTAATATTGGATATTTATGATGTAAACATACCACAATAAAATTTAATAATTGCTGTAAATATGGACAATGTTTCCTCCTCCTAGTATAATGAATTAGTCTAAACTCTTGTTCAAACCCACCAATATTCATTTTCTATATCCTTTATTTTACTACTTTCACTATATATTAATTGCAATACTTTTAACTTTTCTTTTCATAGATTCCATCAAGTGCAGTCCTTTTCTTTGATGTTAAAAAAATCACTTGGGTTGTGTAAGCTAGTGATCATTTTCCAAAATATGGGGTTAAGTTATGTTTGGATTTGCATCTCTGTTTAGCAGAGTTGGGTATTAGAATAACATAACTATGGTTTGCTAAATGATTAGGAATGAATTTGCATTGTGATGTAACATGTTGAAGGTGACTGGAAATGTAGAATCTGTCCAACTTGGAATAGGAGTTATTTTGTTGGTAGGTAAATTCACATTTATGAGGTTCATTTTATACCAGATGTCTATAGGGTCAAACTGGTCTTTCAGGTGAAAAATTTTACTTTTCCTTTTGTTTCTGGTGTTCCCTATTCTATCTATATCTTTCTTGACAAAGTTGAAGTCACCACCTAAAAGAATATCATGAGTTGACTCTAAATAATGATCAAGGTTATTAATAAAATCTTATCATGCTTTAGGGTCTCCTGACAGCCAGTAGACAGAAATAATTCTCTGTATCCCAAGTTAATCTTCTATATTTGATGCTACAAGGTGGCCATATAATTGTCATGTGTTTGGTATAAGATGTTGATACCATGTTAACAAAAGTCACTGTCTCTCCATTGCTTCTGTTCCTGTGAAACCATATGCATTGATAAAACTTATTTGGTGTTACAAGAAAATTGCTGAAAATTTTTATTCTTGTTAAGCATTGATTCTTGGATTAGTGTGATATCAATTTTATTAGTTAAATGATGAATAAAAATTTGCAGTTTATTTTTATTATTTAAATTGTTGATATCTACTGACAGACTTTTTAGTCTGTTATTCATTCTGATGGTATTATCATGATCTCTTGTTCAATATTATTTCTAGGTGGATTTGTATTATTCTGTTCATCTTCAGTGTTAAGATTTAATATTTCGTATTTATTTGTAGTTATAATTTCACAAATGGATGATGTGTTGCAGCTGTTTTTTAATACCTGAGGGTTTTTGGTTTGGAGTAAATTTTAATTTTTTTTCCTTCTTTTGACAATATTCTCTGGAGACATCTCCATTTTATTATCTTTTAAGTTTACATTTTCTTTGTTTTCAGGATATGTTATAGGGCAATTTTTGTGTCTGTTGTCTATGTGCAATTTGCTCTGTTTATGTTCTTCACTTACCTGTGGGGTATTTCCAGTCTTTTCCTATTTTGACATGGCATGGGTTGACAATTCATTTTCTATTCCTATTTTTATTTCATACTTTCAGGTTCCTGTAAAATGTCCTCTGTGTCCATTACGTCTGCCCTGCCCATGAGTTCTTTGTCAGTGCAGACATAACTGTTTTTTTTTTTTTCTTTTTGAACAGTTCTCAGGAGCATGCCCATATTTACAGCAATTATTACATTTTATTGTGGTATGTTTACACCATAAATATCCAAAAGTTTTACACTTGTAGCACATTTGAGGTCAGCCAGATATAAATATAAAGAAATAAAAATTTTATTAAACAACGTAAAAAAGTTAAATCTACAGAGACTTGTTTTCACTAAAAAGAAAATGACGTTAGTTTTAATCTCTTGTTTTATAAGCTTTAAAAGTGAGAAAAAATAATGCTAATGATGTGATAAAATAATAATTACATTACACATAAAAATAATTAAACTAAAATTCCAAAGGTTTGAACTTACATCGTCTAAGTCCAGTGCCTAGCATCTTATCCAATTGGCTAAGCCGTGAAAGTTTCAAAGACTGATAAGCTAAACACTCGATTTTCAGAGGCCCAGTTTTTGGAAACACTTGAGAAGTGGGTCCTATTATTTAGACAAGGACCTGTTTGTGTTTAAAGCTATGTGCTTATCACATTTTGTTGGAATCAGAGGCCCAAATATCCAGCCCTCTCCTTGTAAGTGATACCTTACTTTTGCTTTCCAGACAACATGATTAAAGCTACCAATTACACCTGCATTAATCATTAAGTAAAAATTGGTGGCAAAAAAAATTAAATGGCGAATGGTTGACAATATTTTAAATTTTCCAGAGCAACCCCTGCAATAGTAGTTTATTACTGATATAACTATACTGTAATTATTTTGTCAGTAATTTTATTGGAAATATATGCTTAAATATTTAGTCATTTTTAATTCAAGAACTTTATTTTGAAATTATTTATTATAAATTAAAATTTTAAGTTGAAAGTTAATTAAACACATTGATTAATCACAGAGTCAAAGAATATTGTGAAAAATATGAATGTATTTAATATGTTAACAATAATTGAATTAATTATTTCAATATGGTGAAAGTATGTGTCTTTTCATTCTTACATATTCTAATGGATGTAAATTGATTTTTAAGGTTTCTCAGAATAATGTGAAAGAAAGAATACTCACTCTTGGAATTGGCTTATTGGAGATTTTAGATACATTATTGAAACTTTCATCATCAGACCATTTGAAATGTGCTTGTCAAATTTTAAAGGTTAGTTATATAAATTTAAAATATATCATTTGATTTTTAATAATTAATGTTATTGCATTAAAAAATTCCCTGCAGACTTTTCTGATAATTGAGGGCATGAATGAATGATATGTTACCATTCTTCAAAACTCAATTGCCATGTATGGATGGTGTTATCTATCTATATCTATCTCACATACCACACTCTGAAATTAAGTGACACTGTAATACCCATTGCAGGTATTAGTGTCATTTATACTAAAACATGTATATATAATAAAATGAATATCAATTCACTCAAAATTTTGATTTTGTAACATAACACCTTCATCCACTCATGTTTTCAATTGAAAAATTTTAAAAATAGTGTTCATGAAACAAGAATAAAATTCAATTTATTTAAATTTAATGCAAATACAATATGGAGAAGTTATTTTAATTTAATTAGTACAGTAGAGTGTCGCTTATCCGAATCAATTGGGGACTGGGGTTGTTCGGATAACTTATTTTTCAGATAACCGATTATGTACGAAATAACCTATCATGTTGAAAAAAATAACCTATCCCATGTTGAAATTTTTCTCCGTTGCATGTCGCTTCGCGTTGAATTTTCGTCGATGTTAAGCCTAATGTAAACTTTTTAAAATAATAATCGTGGCTATTGCATTGTTAAAAATTATTTCTTTATTTTTTACAAACAAAATAAATATATTGAAAAATATAAAAACAAAAAAAATTATACTTTAAAAGTTAATTTAGTATCAAAAACGTTCGATTCAGCATGACACACAGTCCTCAGAAAAACACCACACAAAAGTGCCAGTGCTGCCAGCTAAAAAACACACATCATCAAAAAAATATTGGAGTAGCCCAAGATATAACCAAAGATTGCAGTGCTACAGCACTAGCGAAAATTTAAATTTGCCAACTGGAATTCTTTCGGATAAACGACGCTCTACTGTATTCTTATAAATAAATTAAATGTAAATTATAACTTTCAATTAAATTTTAATTAATGTTATTTTTATAATTTTGTCTGATTTTTGAAAACTGGCATAAGTCAATTTTTGGAAAAACTGATTTACATCACTTTTCCTTTCAATGGTTTATTTATTATTTTCAGAGTTTGTCTTGCTCTTTAGGGGATTTTGGGATATTTTTATTTTTCATCATTTTTTAGGTTTAGTGCTATTGTATACTTAATGAATGGTAGTATAAATGTGTTTTTAAGCTTTTATGCCTGTATTGTTATAATTATGTCATATTTAAAAAATATTTTCTATTTAATGTAATGGAACTAGTTATTGTAAGTTGGAGACTCACTATATCTATTCCATACATATTCTAAATTGAAGAGTATACAGTAGAACTTGGTTAAGAAGTTTTTCATGGAACCAAATTAAAACAAACTTTTTCAGGGTGAACTTCTTATGCAGAAATGCAAATAAGGCTTTTCTTTCAATAACCCATATTTATTAGGCTTATATACATTATCTATTTATTTAGATACATGTCTAATGTAGACTGTTTCATCTATTTTGTGTAAAAAATATTACATTACAGTAGAGCCTCGATTATCCGACCCAATTGGGGACTGGGGTTGGTCGGATAATTGAAAAGTCGGATAACCGAAAAGTATGAAAAAATCCATTATTAGTGTAGTATATTATTATATCCCATGTAATTAGTATATTAGTATATCGCTATTAACCTACTTTGCGTTGAATTTTCATCGATGTTAAGCCTAACAAAAATTTTTTAAAATAATAATCGTCGCTATTGTATCGTTAAAAATTAGAAAATTAAGCCTTGTTTAAATACTGGCTCCCTTTCATGGTCGAATGAGTGTTGCCAGCTAAAACACGTAAAAATAATATTAAAGTAGCCAAGACATAGCCAAATATTGTAGCGTCACATCACTAGTGGACATTTGAAATTTGCCGACTAGGACTGTCAGTTAACCGAGGTGTCGGTTAATCGGGGGTCGGATAATCGAGGCTCTACTGTATATGATTTATATCAGTAAAACCATAGATCTACAAATAGTTTGTTAACATTTGTTGAAAACTTACAGTATAACCGACATGTTGATAGTGCTTGTTAAAACTTGTTTGTTGCAAGCATTGTTGCCAGATAACTGTAAGAAAATTGTAAAAATTCGTGTTCAAAGCAGTCTAAAGTCACATGTACAATGACACACAATTTTGTACATTTTCTAATATAATTATTTTGTTTTTCCATAAGCAATAAAATTATAAAAATTTTCAATAGGATGCAGTTTAAAAACTTCTTGAGCCAGTTTATTTTCCAGTTGTGGACGAGGATTTCTGTCTACTTAAGCAGGAAATTTTCTTAAATGGGAACATTTTATATGGAAAGAATTTACACATTTCTTAGGGAGAAAAAAATTGAGAATTTTCAGACTAGACTTCTAACACAGGAAAACTTTTAATGTAGAAACTTCTTAAATAGGTTGTAGTGTATTTTTTTTCCCCTTACACTAAGATCTATAATGTTGTTAAAAACTATAGAATGCAAAGTTTGAAGTTTAATTTACAGTAGAACCTCCATTATCCGGACCTCTATTATCCGGATNAATAGTTTGTTAACATTTGTTGAAAACTTACAGTATAACCGACATGTTGATAGTGCTTGTTAAAACTTGTTTGTTGCAAGCATTGTTGCCAGATAACTGTAAGAAAATTGTAAAAATTCGTGTTCAAAGCAGTCTAAAGTCACATGTACAATGACACACAATTTTGTACATTTTCTAATATAATTATTTTGTTTTTCCATAAGCAATAAAATTATAAAAATTTTCAATAGGATGCAGTTTAAAAACTTCTTGAGCCAGTTTATTTTCCAGTTGTGGACGAGGATTTCTGTCTACTTAAGCAGGAAATTTTCTTAAATGGGAACATTTTATATGGAAAGAATTTACACATTTCTTAGGGAGAAAAAAATTGAGAATTTTCAGACTAGACTTCTAACACAGGAAAACTTTTAATGTAGAAACTTCTTAAATAGGTTGTAGTGTATTTTTTTTCCCCTTACACTAAGATCTATAATGTTGTTAAAAACTATAGAATGCAAAGTTTGAAGTTTAATTTATTTATTTATGATATTTTAATAAGATATTTTTTGAAATTCTTATTATAAGACCTCGTGTGTTTTTAGATTTTAAAAATATAATGAAAATTTTCCATATGATGATGATTATTTTTAAGTTATTTATTGTCAGTATGTTACATATTATGCCTTTTTAGATATACATTGGTTGATATAATTACATTTTAAAATAATAAAATTTTAAACATTTTAAAATTTGGTTGATATAATTACATTTTAAAATTTTAAAATTTAAATAAGGCTGTACTAAAGTTTAATATGTTTATAAGATATATAATTACATGTATTTTAATTTTTAGTGTGTAGGTGCTCATCTTGAAGATCAGGAGAGAAATATTAGATCAAGAAGTATAAGTTTAGATTATATTTTTCAATCATTAAAAAATATCAGTGAGTCTGGTAATTGTAAATCGTAAGTATTTAACTATTTTGTTGCTCTAATAGATTAAGAATTAATTTCTTTTTAGTGAATTTATTAAATACAAGATTATTGTCTTCTCAGAATTTTTATTGTTAATATTTGTTGTTTATATATTTTGACAAGCATTAAAAATTAAACATCAACATTTAAACAACACCAGGGTGAAGTCAACAACATACCTTGAACCTGTGAGTTGCAAGAAGGATAAAGTACATCACAAACGTTTTCGAACTGATTAAAGTTCTTCCTCAGGTGATACACAGAGTGTTTTATTTACTCTGTGTTCCATCAGATATTCTGTGTATCACCTGACGAAGAACTTTAATCAGTTCAAAAACGTTTGTGATGTACTTTATCCTTCTTGTAACTCACACTGGTAACAGGTTCAAGGTACATTGTTTATTAAAAATTAATGTTTGTGTAAAAGTTTAGAATAATGTAAATGTTTCATGGATTGTATAAAAATCACTGATAGTGTACTAGTAAAATATTTTCAACTTTGTAATTGTAAAGTTGTCATAATAATTTTTTAAGCATTGGTAAGCTTATAGAGTAATTCGATTAACAAAATTTTAGTTTTTATAATGTAATCTGAAGAGAATTCAACACATAGTTGTGTGTTGATACTTTTTTAATCATAAGTTAATGTTTTTATAGTTGTTTTAGACTTTTTTTATTAATTGGTTGTTACTAAGATAGTCTTAAAATATATTAATTATCAATCTTTATTAGCGAAAAAGAAAAGTATCCCTATTGCAGGGTGAAATTACATATTTCTAGAAAGTACAAAGATAGTCTTAAAATATATTTACATTGTAGAAAACTTTGCATACTAGAATATGTTTGCAGTAAAATTTCTTTTCACATATTTTATTAAATACAATATTTGCAATAATTTTCATATTTATAATTTCATTCATCTTGCTTTCATTTGACATGATTCAGAATCAGTTGTTGTAAATCACCTTTTTAATTTAAAATGTTTACAAATATGAAAATAATACATAGAAATATATCCTTAATGACTGTCATCATTCTTTTTATGCTAAACAAATTCACATGGCAAAGTCAACCATTTTCTTTACTTCTACTATTTGAATGAGTTTTTAATCATTGGTGATTATTTGTAATCTATATATATAAAAATGAATGTGTGTGTGTGTGTGTGTGTGTGTGTCTGTCCTTCATGCATTACTACACCGTTTATCTGATTGCCGTGAAACTTTGGGAAGTTGTTTAATATACTTCTGCAAAGGTTTCTGGCATAGTACGATTGCCATGAAACTTTGGAAAGTTTTTTAATACACTCCCGTGAAGGTTTCTTGCATAGTACATTTATCCTATGATAGATGGTGCGTATGTATATGAGCATTTTACTGTGTTCGATCGATTTCAAATTGTGAAGACCATTTCCCCCTTCAAAAAATATCTCTATATATGCATTTGTTATTTATGATATTTGTAATAATTTTTGTTTAATCACTTTATTTCAACTTTTTTTTGCTAATTATGTATTCGTTCGAACTTTGTTGAAAGCTTAACTGTATCCTGAACAACAACCAAAGTTGTAGAAGGAAATTCGCCTATTTTACCGATCTAGGGATCCTCTTTTCCAAATTTTAATATCAACTCAAAATAATTTAAAAAGACAAATTACAATAAAACGGTTTATTATCCAACTATCAGAAATTTCACAACATGCCAAGGAAGAGAGGAAGGAGCAATTAAATAATCAAAATTATAAAGGATTAAAAAATATATATAAAAATGGGGAATATCGCACTTCTAACAATCTCTGCGAGTATGTGGGCTAAATTTAAAGAATCCGTGCTTCTCACATGTACAACTGTATGTGGCCAGCTCACGCGTTGGAAAACCTTCTGATTTATTCGTGTATGCACCAGACGGAAAAACAAAAAATATCGTGTATCCACAAGCACTCCAATAAATAAATAGAATTGAAACGACACTTTGAAATGTTTTTCTGATGAAAATGAATAATAATAATAATAAGTTTCAATAAAAATGATAAAATGTAAATTGAATTTTATCATAACGCATTTGCTTGAATTTCATTTCTTCTGAGATCACAGCAATGCGCGACGGGTAAGCTAGTAATTTATAAATTTAAAAAAATCTGAACTTGGAAATTTTTAAAAATGTCTATAGATTGAAAGGAATTTAAAGTAGTCATACCTATTTTAAATCTTTATGCTGTTACACTTACCCTAATGTAATTGATTTTTAGCTTGAATATTTTTTCTAATTATAAATTGTAATTAATTTAATTTTTAATTAAATGTAAATTAAGTTATAATTTATTAATTGTGACCTAATTATAAATTTTATTAAAAATGTTTTAATTTTTTATAAAGACTAACTTCAAATTTTCATATGAACATTTTATGATTTTTGAATAATTTTATTATTCTTTTTGATTGCTAAATTGTTTATTTTAAAAAATATTATTGCTAATCTTGTTTACTGAAAATAATATTTTTCTTTTTCAGAGATATCAAAGCAATGATTTCTTCTGTTTTAGAGCTTAGGGCTCACGATTGGGGAAGAACGTCTTTGCCTGCAACATCTACTTCCGTTGAACCTGTTGTGGATTCCACTCGACTTGTCTGTATTTATTCATACATATTTTAACATTAGGAAAAATATTAATTATTTATTCATTTTTATTTTTAAAATATTAAATTTTTTGATCTAAACAAAAATATATTTGATAGAATGAACCTGTATTTTATGGACCTGATGGTCTTCCAATAACACCAGAAGAAGCTTTGTTTCTTGAAAGCCAGCGACTCAGTCCAGACTATGGAGATGATGAATATGAGTTAGTTTGCTTAAATTTAAATTTTTCAAACTTACATATAATCAAATTAAATATGTAAACAGTGCAAATATATTTAAATTAATGCATTTGTTAAAAATTAAAATTTTCATTTCAAATAGAAAATTTTTAAAAACTTTATTTAATTTAAAATTTTATTGTAAATACACAGGAAAATTATTAATTTAAATAAATAACTATAGTAAATCCATCACTAACTCAAACTAATAGTGAGTGTAGGTTGCCTGAGTTTATGAAAGTATAAATTAGTGGTGTATTTTCTTCAATGATGTGAAAAACAAAAAAGATGGTTATAAATACAGTAATTTATTATGATCAGTTAGTTCTGTACAGAAGTTTTACTGAGCTTCAGTATTTTATACTTCTGAAATTTATTATTACAGAAATGAGGTCAAAAAAATTTTATTACAGTATAGTATACAGCAATGTATCATCTTTAGAAACTTACTGACTACAGTAATACTGTATAATGCATAGTATTACTGATATTGAAAGCACTTGCTAATTAAATCATTTTTATATTAAGAAATTTAAATTAACTACATTTTTTTGAAAAAATTTGTCAGAATATTGAAAAATCAGAGTTGGCAGGGTCCCAGTTAGTGAGGATTTACTGTATTTGATTAAAAATTTTTCATTGAGTTTATTATATTTTTAAAGAATTTATATTCCTTGTAGAATCATTACAAATTACAAGAATTTTTCTTTTTTTCCAATTATTTTATCCAAATTCATGTGTTTTGAAAATACATCATTGTGATAACTGTATAGTGTGTAATGTTTATTTTAAGTATTCGGCATTATTTTAAATAAAGGATTTTCTTTAAAATAATGCTGTCTGTAACTTATTACAGTTTTTTTATATATAACTCTAATTTTGGATATTTCCAGAGTGAAATAGAATCATGTGTTATAATCAATGAAGATTATAAAATATAACAATTCTTTTCTGATAAGTTTTTTAGGTGTGAAGTTAAACATTGATCTGTCAATTCACTGAAAGTGAAAACAATAATATGATAAGCATATTGAGGGTAATATGGAACAGTGATTTAGCCAGGGAGGGTGCAATGGAGCAATTGCACTCCTGCTAGTAACATTTACTTTTTAAGTATAAGTATAAACTGTACAGCTCATAATTTTGAATGTTTAGTAACATAATAAAATTTGATTTTTTCCTTTCACATTAATGTGAAACTTATGACTCAAACTATGTGCAATTTGTTTGGGAATCTCATGTAATTATTATTTATATACTAGATTCAATTGCTATAAATCAATCACAAAAAGTAACAATAATTTGTGTACTTTCTGCATTGTAGTTTTAATCAAACAACATTCTATATTTAGTATTCTTTAGTTGTACTCCCTTGTTAAATTTCTTGCTGCACTAGTGATATTGAACACATTATTATTAGTCAGATCTCTTCCTAATTAGTCATTGATATCAGCTTTTACGAAAGTTATTGGGTGAATGTTTTTTTCAGTCTCTAATCAATCAGCAGTAAGAATTATCATGTCGGTTTTATCTATTTATAAAATCTTGCAATAAAAGCTTCCATAATTGCTAAAAGTATTTTGTCTCTAGATCCATGTGCAGTACTCTGAAAAGAATAACACAGGATTTTAGTTCACTTATTAAACCAAAATTTTAATTATACATTAATAAAAAAATTTACTTTTCAAGAAATTTTGAAATTTAGCTCAATATTATATATCTGTGTTTAATTTTGTATAATTGATTTTCCAGTGACGATCTTTATGAAAATGATGAGATGGATGATGTAATTCAAGAAGCATATGAAGAATTTTTGCGCTCAACTGGTCAATAACATTAAGCACTGGAGGTATATTCCATATAAAGGGGGGACAAATGAACAGACACCAACCAATCTCTTAGAAAAGAAACATTGCAAAAAAAATAAAAAACTGAAATATTGTATATTTTGCTTGAATTCTGTATTAACTTTGTTGGGATAAAATAATATTTATGTTAATTTACTTTATTAGAATATTCTGTGAAATATAAAAAAAAACAATTAGTTCATTTCAGAATCTTCCATCCAAACTGGTTATTCTTATTTTTTGAAAGAAAAAAATTTTGAATCTTTCTTTTTTTCTTTTTTTTATATGTATAAAAATAAACTGTGGAAAAGAAGCAATATTTAGTTTTAAAAACAACTAAATGTGATTGGAAAAAAGTAGTTACAGTTATTAGAATTATATATTGGAGTTATCTCAAACGAACAATACAGTGCAAAAATTGAAGTAGTAAAAAACCTAAAGCCTAATTTTTTTTTTGTTTTTAGAACTAAAGGTACTTATACTTAATGCTCATATAGATTTGTTCACACCCACAACTTTATCNAAGAATTTTTTAGGGAGTGATCGGGACCCACATTTGAGTTCGGCCACTATTCATGACGGATAGAATTAAAAGACCTTTCTTGGTGCCTTCCGGGAGGTCTTTTTAAGAGTAACTGGCTCCTGTTCAGGCATTACAGATGTGAAGAAAACCCTGAAAACTTCACGTGACCAGCCTGTCTTGGCCAGGCGCGAACCCATCCAGTGTTCAGGAAACGGAACCACTTGGCGAACGGTGGGCCAAGAATTCTTAGTTATTTCACATTAGAAAAAAATATAGTCTTAAGAATCTATAGCTCGAACTAGCAGAAAATTTTATTTGTAGAAGTGCAAATAAAATTTTCTATATAAACACAATTTTTTTTTAATTTCAATGGTATTGGTTTCAGATTTGATTTTGAATATGCTAAATATATATGATTTTATTCTTGTAGAATATATTTCGGATGTTTTACTATCGGTGAAAATTTTTTGTAGAATTAGGTGATGAGAAAAGTAGAACGGGGGATTGTTTTAACAATAATTACCTGCAAACAAAAAGAAGAAAAAAAATCGTACTGTGATGACAGCTGTGGTGTAAATACTTTTATCTGGTGCATTACAGTGGCTATGGCAAAATATTATTTCCATTTTTATCTTTGCTACATACTGTATACAAAACAGGAAATAAATATTTGCAGAAAAGTGTGTAATTTTATATAGCCTTAATTGTAAATAAATAATCTCATCGATACCGAATTAAAATTTTGTATGAGATTAAAAAAAACTGAAGGATATTAATTGTTTGTTGTTATAGTTTACCATTTAAAAAAAATCCAAGGTTACCGAATTAGTATTGCAATAAATCATGCTGAATTTCGCAAAATTCGTGTCATAACAATAAGTCTTAACACGAATTTCGATGAAAGATCGTATCGATTCCGTGTTTTACCCTGTATAATTGAGTTGCGTGATCATAATTTATGTAGAAAACGAATAATATTTTTGTAAGAATTTTTATTTAATGAGTATTCCGAGTGGGTGTTGCTTTTTATTTCCATCCAAAATACTTTTTTCAACATCATTAAAATGTTAGATAGGTTGTCTTTCCTTTATTAAAATTACCAAAACTTATGTCGGAATTTAATACACATTTCTTGAATTATTTCGTAAACAAAAAGTTTACGAAATAATTCAAAGTGCAATATTTCAAATTGAACGTAAGCATTTCCAAATGAAGCACTATAATCATTTATTTTTATTTATTGCTACACATCACAATTTTTGGGTAAAATAAGTTACTGCATTGCCTTCTCATAGAAAACTCAGTTTAATTTGCCATAATAGGCCTTTAGTCAGATATTCGAATTAACATGTAGCAATAGGAAATATGTTGAGAACATCATGTGATAGAAAATCGTTGGTTGAATTGTCGAAACGAACCCGATCCTATCGCGTAACATTCTCAACAAATGTCAGATGAAATTCTAAATGTGCCGGATTTTTGTCCAAAAGTTCCTAGATTTTCTTAGACAATATACTATAATGTAATTATACTCAGGCTTATACAAATGGCATTAGTTAATAGTGATACTAGCACGAATCGACAATAGGTTTAATTTCATCATGTAATAAAAGGTTTTATTACATGAAGTCGTTGGCAAGATTTGCTAGTATTTTTTAATCGATCTGGTAGCTAAGGTTAAGTTGTCAGGTTGCGGATTCGAATCCTGCTTAGGGTACCTGGGTAATAGATATTTGTGTTACCCGTTTTAAGGAGAAATGAGTTTGTTACATAGACATCATAATTTCTTAATGCCAAAATGGACGGTGATCCGAAGTTATTAAAATTCCGTTAAGAAATATAGATGAGCGTTATTAAAATTTGTTAGTATATTATTTTGATTTCATGGCGTAAAAAATAAATTTCTATAAAAGCTTTTATTTTCGAAAATCTAATAATGAAAAAAATCATTTTTATGGGTAAATGTAAAAGGTTTCCAGGTTCAAACCAGGCATTTTTTTCAGATGAACTTACTTTTATTAAGTCCTGGTCACTCAGTTTTATCATAACTTATTGCATTGTAAAGTTTGACGCACATGGATGAATGGTTTTTCTGCTGCATTATACAACGTAGTGCACAACCTCGTTAAAGAAAACTTCAAGCAAATTCATTTTGTTCGATGGTGTACGCAGACTTCGAATTAAAATGTCTTGCTATACTCTCGCGAGTGTGAAGTATTCAGCTGTTGCAATTTCAACATTACATCATAATATCACAATGTCTTCCGACGAAGTGTTTGCAATTCTTATATGGAAATGGATTTAGCTGTGCTAAGAATCTAATATATAATCGAGATGGGTTGATAATAATAATAACCGCAGAGCCCAAACGGTTAGAAGTTGAAATTTGGTACACAGAGTACGTCACGAAAACGCACACTGAGAAGGGATTTTTCGAAATTTCCCCGGGGGAGACAGGATTAAGGCTTCTATATACATTATGGATACGAGCCCAAACAGTTAGGAGTTGAAATTTGGTACACAGGGTACGTCACGAGAACGCGCACTAAGAAGGGATTTTTCGAAATTCCCCCCGGGGGAAGACAGGATTAAGGCTTAACACTTCCATCAACAATGGAAGTGTTAAGAGAAAGCGACGTGCAAGATTTACAGGCGCAGATGCAGTTTTTTCGTTTTTGCGGTAAATCGAACATTTTTAGAACCATCTAAAAATTCTGTAATTAGTCTGGAAACAAGGGGACCCAATTCTTGCATTCTGTGAAAACGGGTAAGGTTGACAGTAACGTAATAATCTTTATCTTAGTTATCGTTACTTTTGCCCGAGCAACGCCGGGCCCACCTGCTAGTAATTATATAACGGTCTTCGATTAAAACAATTAACTTCTCTATTTCCATAGTTTTTAATAAACAGCTATGCGTGGAAAGCTAGAAATGAGGTGAACAAGAAAATGATAGCATGGTTGAACCAGGATCCGTGATTGCACCTTCAACAGGTTTAAACATACTTAAACTGGTGATATATAATTAAAATGTTTGTAATGGGACTTAAATTATATTAATTTAAGCCTGTTTATAATGTAATCCTCATAATACTGTGCAGTGTGGATGGAAATAAATCTTTAACAGGTATGTTTTAAATTGTAGATTATAATTAATGTCAGTTTCTCTAAGAATTTGTTCTACAACGTATACCTATATATTTTTATGTATGGCTGATGAGGATCTTGTGTACCAAAATGCATACCAGTAATAAAGTTGCATTTTTGATGTTACCAGTAGCAGTGTGATAAGTCTCTACTATAGAGGAGAAGGTGGTATTATGGAACACTGCGGGTATTATGGAACCACCCATTTCGAACTGATAATAAAAGCGAACTGTAGCGGAATGTGCCTGAACTGAACTAGGCAGACATCCATAGCAGGGGAGAACCCGTTTTACTTCAGTTAAACAGTTGTCCGTATTTAATCAGCAAATTTGTTTTTTTCAAAATTCGCAAGTTTTGAATGCTAAGTGAATTTAATTATTTTTAAAATATAAATCGTGTAGTTGTAGGTTCACTGGTGCATGTATTCCGTTCCAGAGACTTAGGGGTACATATTATCTGTCTGTGTGCTTTTCACGTTTTTAAAGTTTGGTGCCGACAGGAATTAAGTTAACCCAAGATGGAGATGCGTGAAATATGGACCCCATTGGTGCTTTTAATATGGAACCCAACTTCCCTGGTGTTCTGTATTACCAATAAATTCAAACCATAAAATAATGTTTTTACGTTTTATTTTATTTATGAAAACATTTTTTTAATTTAAATACTATCTTAGCAAGAAATAAAATGTAAGATAACAATCGAAATAAACATTTTTTTTCATGAAAAAAAATATCGTCTGCTTACAAAATAGCGAAACTGAGCATGCGCGAAGTGACAGTATCGTCTGGTAAAGTAAATAGTCTACAAGTAAGTTGAAACTTTTATGTTTATTTATTTGAAAAATAACAATAAATGCAGCAGTGACTAATTTTAAAATATTAAATCATTTTTGCGTTAAAATACATTGGAGTAAATGATTTTGTAATTATTTAACATTCTTTGTACTTTCCTATTTGTTTTTGGCTACATTAAAGCATTTTTTGAAAATATACAGTAAGGTTCCATATTACCACCCGATTTTCTCTAAGCCTACTTTCGGACTTTTTGTACAAAAGCCTTCAAAAACCATACTTATAATTACACTAGCGAAAAATCCAATTAGGAACATTTAGTTTAATAGTTACAAGTACTTTTTGCACAAAAAATGTGGGTGTAGTTATGATACCTTGTTTACAATTCACTAAAATGTAATTGGGGTTCCATAATACCATAAATACCATAATTCCATAAATGTGGGTGTAGTTATGATACCTTGTTTACAATTCACTAAAATGTAATTGGGGTTCCATAATACCACCTTCTCCTCTAGTATTTGAGACATTAGTTTCAACAATTTTTAAGACAAGAAGTTCTTTTATAATACTTAAACTTGTATAATCGTGTCTGTCGGTGGGCCAATTCTCTCTGGAAAAAACTTTTTATATAAAACATTTTGCTGGATACTAAAACATTTCAACACACTGATCAAACAAAAAACGTCTTTAAAGGAGACATTTCATCGAAAAGTGTTTAACTCTGATTTATCGCGTTTTTGAGTTTTGATCAATGTGCGTTGGGGGCTAAATAAATCATTGAAAAAAAATATATGTATGTTTAGTCAAAAATGTTTATACAAAGTTTTCTTCAATCTATATGCATCCATCCCAAGTCACAATTTTACTGTAAATGCTTTCACAGCTTCAAATTAACTTCGACTTCTATTTTGACCACGGGAAATTCATGAGTGAATAGATTATTTTTACAGAAGCTGTAATTTCCGGAAAATACAGGTATAATTCTATCAGATTTGGAGTTCAAGATCCTCTTCGCTCATTTCATTAAATATTTTGACTAATCCTTCAGATACGTTGATTTTTCTTCATTCTATTTCTCTAAGTATTTTGTTATTGTCTTTAATAGCATTCATTAATGGAATTTCATGTTTCTTTTGATGTAATATGTTCCTTAAATTCGTTGAAACTACTTTATATTTCTTACAATTCAGTCGTCTTACTCGGCGGTATTCATTCAAATTTATCAACGCAAAATAAACATTTTCTAACAAGTCACAAATTTAGACTGATTGACTGAGTGATTGATTCATCATCGCCCAGAGCAAACCGCTAAACCTAAAGAGGCGAAATTTGGTAGACAGTTAGGGTACTGTACATCATGAAAACGCACACTAAGAAGGGATTTTTGGAAATTTCCCCCGCGGGGGAGAGGGAAAGGATTAAGGCTTAACCTGAAGAACGGCTTCTACTTTTTTTTTAACTCTCTGCCCTGTGGGCACTAAGAGGGCCTCTTTTAGCAAGCCCATTACGAGTTCGGCCAGGCCCACAATAAGGCGGCCGGGTGGTAAGGGACGAGGGCCGACAAATCCAGTTGGTCGGACCAACCCCCGAAAAATTTCCTGAGGATTTTACGACTCGTCCGTATTCGATCCTGAGCCCCCGAACGGTAGGCTACCACCTTGACAGCTCAGCCTTCCGACAGTTCTATATATATATATATTAACAATAGCTCAAATTTGTTTTTATTAAAAAAAATCCAGCAACGAGTTGCTTAAGTTTCCCGGTAACATTTGGTGGCGCCATCTGTTATCATATTTTATTAAAAATACTTTTTACATTTTTTAACTATTATAAAAGCTTAATTTTGAGGGTAGGGATGTGTTTTATAAAAAATTGTAAATACTAATAACGAGTAAAATCGTCATTAAATCCGGCCATACTGGAGATACACACAATCCCCTTTATCTCCCCATCCCTCGACCTTTAATCACCAAACTTTAAAAGCATCAATCCCTTTAATACACAAACTTTCCCGCAAAATTTCAGAAATTTTCGATAAAAAGCACAGGAGTTATTAATATTCAAAGACGGTGAACAAAATCATGCCCCCACACATACACTAACATCCATACATACAGAAAAAAACCCAATTTTTTGCATTTCACGACGTTTCAAAGTGTCCTGGGCCCAAAAATGTAAAAATCTTGAGGGATCATTTTTTGATCGCTCACCATGCTTCCCCTCTATTATATATAACAACCGGGAAAGTAAAAAGACCATAATACTAAATTGATGATGAACTACACTAAGAATTTTCGACAGAATTTCATCAATGAAGAAGAAAATATTTTATTCAAAGATTGGATCTGGAATCTTCTTTCTTTTTACTTAAGATTTATTAAAATAAATTATAAACCGATAAATCATATTGAAAAAATGCAATAATACAAATGCAACAATTTCTGACGATACCAGTTGATTTTTTTAAAGTATAATTTTGATTTAGATGGAATATTTGACGATATTTCATGTGTACAATAACGAATGTATGGGTAATATCAATCATTATAAATAACGAACTTTTCCTACAAAACAACAAAAATCGTCGAAGAAAAATTTGCATATTATTATCAAAATATTCGTGATACTTTTAAAAATATATCGCTAATGTTATTTCAAGTGTAGATACATTCGAGCTACAAGACTATTCAAGAATAATAAGTATGAAAAAATCACCAGAATGTAGCTGATAGAGACAAGTACTGTATCAAAAATCTCAAAACGAAAATAGAAAATCCAGCGGAGTAGCGTGGATGTCAACCGCCCGGGGTGGAGGAAATTTTCGCCGTCCCGTTATTTAGGCATCTCAATTTAAAAGACAAATTCAGTTTCGTCACAGAATAAGCAATGAAAAATTCCGTGCTAGTGCAGCGACCTGTTTAAAATAGCTCTATTGGATATTGGAGGCGTATATGAATAGGAATGAATCGTACAAGCAAAAAAAAAAAAAAACAGGTTGCGCAGGATATCCCGGGATGAAATTACTAGTTCACCCGGACGCTGAGTCGATTCCCGGACTGTCCGGATGATAGCACTATCGTAGGCGCGACGCAAATTTAGAATAGAGTGGTTCAAATTTTTACAAAATATTATTATTATTTATTGTGAAATTTTGCCGCACCCACTACGCTACGCCACTGAGAAAATCTACAATAGCGTAATAGCTCACATTTTTTTTTTTTTTTTACTTATTGCCAAGGAGAAACAACGATGATGATAAAGAATTCGTGTTAGTTTTTAACGTAAATATAAAATGTTGCTTATAAATACGAGTTTTTAATATTGATATTTCATTAAAATTAGTGTTGTAACGAATAGTATATTCGGCCTCAGGCCGAATACCGAATAGTAACCGAATATTCGTTACATCACTAATTAAAATCCAATTTATAGCATAAAATACGCTGATTGACAAAAAAGCTATGCACCCAGCTAGAATTGTCCGATTGCTTTAAAACTCGGCATACAGCTATATCTCAGACAGATATGTAAATGATTACAGTTGTGGTCCGATTGCACGCTAGGTAATGCCACCAGAGTGCCTCAAAATCACTATTCAAGTATTCTATAAAAAGATTTTTAGAAAGAGAATCACTGTGTTCGCAATTTTCAATGTACTTGTTTAGTAGTCTCTCAACGCCATACGTGTAAACACAACTGATGGAGTTGGAGAAAACAGGCATCGTTGGGCCGAAGGAAGCGGGTCAAATCGCCCGTTATCTGGGCTGTTTTGACGGCCGAGGCAGTTAAGGCGTCGTCCTGCTGCTCTGTGCATCTGGCATTGAATTCGACCGATCGGGCTATCAAGCTGTCTCGAATCTCCAAGAATTTTTTAGGGAGTGATCGGGACCCACATTTGAGTTCGGCCACTATTCATGACGGATAGAATTAAAAGACCTTTCTTGGTGCCTTCCGGGAGGTCTTTTTAAGAGTAACTGGCTCCTGTTCAGGCATTACAGATGTGAAGAAAACCCTGAAAACTTCACGTGACCAGCCTGTCTTGGCCAGGCGCGAACCCATCCAGTGTTCAGGAAACGGAACCACTTGGCGAACGGTGGGCCAAGAATTCTTAGTTATTTCACATTAGAAAAAAATATAGTCTTAAGAATCTATAGCTCGAACTAGCAGAAAATTTTATTTGTAGAAGTGCAAATAAAATTTTCTATATAAACACAATTTTTTTTTAATTTCAATGGTATTGGTTTCAGATTTGATTTTGAATATGCTTATTTTTAAAAAATGTTTTGTTTTAGCTTGGAATAACGATTAACAAAGTAAAAAATAGGGATTAATTAGTTATAATTAACATAATTACTATTATAAATCTAGGTATTTGTAATTAAAATCTAATTGTACTCTTATGATTTATTAGTAATGTAACAGCCATAATTTACACAAAAACTGAATACACTTAAAAAGCGATAATAATTTTCTAAATCCTTTGTAATTAATCAAATTATATATTTAAAAATTATTTATAAATAATATATCTGCGGAAGACAGTATGATAATACGATTCCGATTTCGTGTTACTTGAGATCTAAAAATTCAGACATGATCAAATCTTTAGTCTTTCTGGGTCACCTGAATGAGTATTGAGATAATTGATGCAGAGAGAGAAGACGCTCACCTGCTATTAAAATACTGTTTACTACATAGGAAAACAAATTTTGATTATACATTACAATCTCGGTAATCCGACATATATGGATGTAACAATGTCGGGTTATTGGAAGATTCAATGGTTTAATCATTAGAAAAGAAAAAATTTGTTTGTTTGCATAATATTAGTACATTGCATTGATATTAATAAACACGTTACTGTATTTTAGAGTTCTCAAATTGAACATCGATCCTTTTAAAATAATTTTCAATTGTCCTTTGCCGTTTTGTTATTCGAGCGCTCTTGTCGTGGCCGATAACCATTCTCGTAAAGTAGGTGGATTCCCACTAAATATAGTATTTTTGGTTTTTATATTAATATTTATACGGTATTGTGTCATAAGAAACTGTACCCAAGCTCGAATGTTCGAGCCCAGGCTCATGCCACGTTTACTAGTGTTCAAATTCAGTGGAAACTGGAATTTGAATTAGTTGGAATCTTGTCTACGGCTTGGTAATAGTGACGATAATATCCGAGATCAAGCTATCGACTAGTGTCGGATTACTAGACATGTCGAACTAGTAAACAGCCGGATTACCAAGATTGCACCTAACTCAATTTGCTGTATATTCTAGAGGTATTGTTGGAAGATCTGCAGGAATATTTGGATTTTTAAGAGCAGAATATCGTCATTTCCTATTATGATCTTTTATTACTACTACTAAGAAGGTGGAAAAGAGATGAACGGAATAAATCCTCCTAAAACTGGTTATAAAATGAAAACTGAGATTTTCACAAACAGAAACTGAACACTAATAATAATAATTTTAATAAACAACATATACAGTACATAATAACATGTTAACAATAAAGATCCTATCACAATATATATATATATATATATTTGTTTATTTATTTATATACAGAAGCTTCAGGCATTATTTACATACTAAAGATTATTAAAATATAGCATTCAGAAAGAATAAATATATATATATATATTTTCTTTTTTTTCGGTACAATATATACATATATATATATATATTTCGATCTATTTTGACGTCAACGGCAGTAACCTATGTAAATATTACACGGAAGCTTCCAATCACAAAAAAAATAATTTTTCCGCCATCTTTTTATGTAGGCACTCTTTATTTTTGTGTGTTTTTTTGTAAGCATCACAATGTAAACTAAAGTTTCGGCAATACGAACAATACACTCTTGTAAAACATTATTTCGTTAACGGAGTTATACAAGACCTTCTTTAGATATGTAATATAACAAGTTGTTGACCTACCATTGAGCTAAATCTGGGAGGAGGGATACGTATAAAGTATTAAGTTACGAAAAATCAAGATTTAATACATTCCACCTTTGGAATTTTTTATATAGTTTCGGATAGTCTGGAAGGATTGCGATTTCGATAGACATTAACAAATAATTGTGTGTGTAGGCCTATATATATATATATATATTTATAGTAATATATATGGTATGTAGAAACTAAAAGATATTACATGTTTTTGATTTTTTATGACCGGAAAAGGGTTTCCTTTTTAAGAATCTAAATCCCTTTTCACTATGCTTCGAGGTACTTGGATTACGTTGGGGTAACTGTGCAGAAGATACAGATTCTGTCACTTCGCCTTCTCTGTTCTGCGAAGGACAAGTCTGTAACTTATGCACGATGATTCTGTAAGTGCCCGTGATGTTGGATCTCGATCCTTTATCGGCACACTCTTTTAACATCTCTTCGGTGATTCCCAATTCTTTCAATTGTTGTCTGGTTTCTCTCTCTATATCACTAAAAGGTCCGTCGGGATTGGTGTTAATACTATATTTGGTTAGTTCGGATGGAAAGTGTTGGTTCCTCAACCATTCTGTGTTTTTAATCTGTTCTATGGTATAACGATAATGGGGTACTATCTGTAGGATTCCTCTCACTAATTGACAACAAGAGTCGCTAACGTATTGTGGTATAACGTAATGACCTTCCAGGATTAGTTTTTTGAGAGCTGCGACAGTTTGAGCTTTAAAGGGCATAGAACCGGTAACCATGAAGTATAGCAACACTCCCAGTGCCCATATATCAACGTAAGCTCCGACGTAATTTTCGTCCTTGAAAAGTTCGGGTGCGGCGTAAGGAGGTGAACCACAAAAAGTACAAAGAGCTTCCTCTCGTTCTCTCACTTGAGTGCTGAATCCGAAATCGCCTACTTTAACTACGTTTGGCCCAGCGAAGAAAACATTTTCGGCTTTCAAATCTCTATGGATGATGTTTCGTTGATGCTGCAAATATATAAATCAAGTTTATAATAATATATTACGCATTAGAAGCGGCGTTAATCTATTCCGAAAGCCTATTAATGCGTTTACGGGATGTAAAGCGGCGTAACGTAAACAAATACAAGTCGTAACGACACGGACAAGCCGTAATTAATATTGTTTTCAAACCTTGCCGAGTTATATTTATGGTTTCGCTCACGCTTAAAACATCTTTACCGCGTTTGTATGCCTTATTTGGATGATATCCTTGAACGCATTAAGATTCACTAGACTTTTTTAGTACATTTCTTCCCAGGCAGTATTCATTAAGGATGAAAAAGATAAAAGACGGATGCCAGTGACACATCACAAATCGTTTTATTACGTTGGGGAATTTGTAAAGTCAAACTTAATAAAATTTAATCGGCTTTGCTATATAAACTTCGGTAGGAAAAATAGAAGAGAACGGAAATTAAGCATCGATAAGTAATTTATAATTCAGACGATGAAACGAATTTAACGACTGATAGTTCCCTCGAGTGATATCGCATTAAGATAACTCGTACATCATCCTTTTCAACTTACCATATGGTCTAATGCAGCCGTAACTTGAGCGAATATATGTTTTGCTTCCATTTCGGGAAATCTCCCATCTGTGGATATCCTATGGAAGAGTTCTCCTCCGTTAGCATACTCCATCACCAGATAGATTTTGGTCAAAGTTTCCACTACTTCGAACAGCCGTATTATATGAGGATGATGCAGTCCCTCCATGCTAATAATTTCCCTGCTTAACATTTTTTGTGTTTTCTGGTCGAGTTTCGATTTGTCCAAAATTTTAACCGCTACTCTCTCTGTTAAATAGAATAATTAGCATTTTAATCTTCTAATACTTTTAAATTATATAAATTATCTAAATATAGGCTTACATCCCGACTTAGCCAGATTATTCTTGATTTTTCTGACATTATTTAAGAATAAAAATAATAAAATTTTATAGACTAGTTATTTAAATATTTTACAAGAAATTTGTTTATGCATTTAAATGACTCAGTTGCGGATTTACGTAACTCTTTGTTTTAATTTATTCACCTTTACTTAAGCAATGAACGGCAGCTTTGACTTGAGAAAAATTTCCACTCCCGATGTCACCTCGAAATCTGTAAAATCCCACTCGTCTTCCTAGAGTTATCTCCTTCTGCCATTTCTCGTCGTTGTTTAGTCTTTGTAAGATCCTTTGATACGGAGTTAACTCCACTTTATCCAAAGAGGTGGACGAGGCGCTGTGATTGTCGACACTCCCCGAACTCGAACTGGTGGCCTGAGAAGTAATGGAAGGTCGCTGATCAACAAGCGGTGAAATTCGAGCTGCTGGCATCCTAGAAACGTAAAATTAATTTTTATTACAACAATAGGAGCGATCGCGATCCAGAACCGATGGTAATTTATCAGAATCGTTTTATATATGCAAATATTGGAAGATTCGTCCAATGCAGATCGATGATAAATCGCAAAAAAAGAAAAAAACTGTGCCGTATCAATTGCTGAAATTCAATAAACATCGCGTGAGAAAACTAAACTAAAACAGGATTTATGGACATAGGAAATGGAAGTGGAACTTTCCAATTTTCTAAAACTGAGAAACTTACTTTTCTCCCTTTAGTTTCCGAAAGTAAATGGAAACTTAGTTTAATCATTCAAAAGTTTTTTGTAAGTGTCGTCGATAAGAAAAGCAGATAATCGCTAAAGAATGAGACGAATATCGATATATAGCCTATATATATATATTTTTTACTTTTATAAAATAATACTTGTAAACGTTTTCTAATCTAATAAAATAAAATGAATTAAGTAAACAGATAACTCGAAATAAAATCTAACGTTAAAGTTTCAAGTTTCGAAAAGATCTAAGTTTGGTATTTTCCTTTTGTTTCAGGAATCGAAAATCAATCTTCGGAAACTTGATTTTTGAAATGTCAGATCGTCTCTACATCGCATTAAAAATTAAGAAACAAAAATCTAAAAGACTGATTCCTCTCTCTCTCTCTCTCTGTTACAATTAAATAAGCAATTACCTTTACGTAAATTTTATTTAAATAACAACAAAAATTGTTTTAAATAACTTTACAAAATACATTTCTATCAAATTACAATGTTATTTTTTCGGTCAATACAAGTTTATAAATTTAAGAAATTTTGTTTTAAATTCTGCTTCAAGGTCGACTCCATCTTTGATGGATGCTGGCTCTTCTTCTTTCTCTTTTATAACATGGAGGTTATAGAGTAGCGGCTTTGTCTCCGACGAGATCTAGATGATGGCTGTATTATATTCGTTATATATATATATAGCAATTTATATCCCATCATGAAACGTGAAGCTGAATTCTCAAACGTTATATACACTCCTTTCTTCTATTATCATAGTAATTTAATCCTGTAGAAACTACTTTATCCATTGTATAATATAAAAGTTCATAGTTTAATTTCTATTAAGTTTAAATTTCTATCAAATATTCGATAATAAAGTCAGATATAATAACAGGCGGTTAATCGTTAAGTTTTTGTAGTATCAACAGAGCGAAACCTATATTTTTCACTTGGGAGTAAACATCCGTAAGATGAAATTTCATCATAGGTCCGAGTCAATATTCTGTATCTAGCGAGACGTCCATCATATCGAATTCTTCCATTATTTATTTAAAAAAACGTAACGCATATACTTAATTAGAAAAACCTGGAGTAGATATATCGAAAAATTAGGAATAAAAACGTGAATAATTAAATGCAGCGATTGTGCATTGGTTTGTACGGTACGTGATAACGGGGACAGGAAATGTCCTAATTGACGAATTAGCCTTGGATACTTCAATATTTTGAGAGTTTGTAGCAATTAGGGATTCAAGAGTCGATCGTAAATGGGTCAGACATCGACCAGGACCTTAAAACTATATGTTAGGCTTGGGGGAAGAAAAAAAAAGAATTCGCACCTGAACCTCCCAGGGATTTTGGCAACAGAACAGCAACATTTTAAGACGTTCCCGCACATTTCTACCATATTTAACTACGGATTTATGTATATTAATTTAAGCAATAGTTGTAGGGACTAGACTAAATCACATTCCAAATGTCACGGTGCAGATGCATTTTAGTACAGTTTACCTACCGCAGTTGCTATAGAGATATCGATCACGATCCGCGAATTTCTGGCGGAAACAATTTAAAAAAAAATATAATATCATTTGTTTTACTAGGTTAACACAAATACCTTCGAATAACTAGGAATTAGCAAAATAAATCTCGTTTCAGTTTAAAAAAAACTGAAGTGCCGTTAATGATACAAGCTGCGTTAATGAGTAATAATAAACAACGAGAACGCCATAAATCCAATTTCAAATAAAATTACAGAGAGAAAGGAAATTAAATTGCATTTCGTTCTGGCAAGGAGGATGAAATCTGCAAAGCTTCTTACGTCGAGTGATGATGAATCGATGCCATCTCGTGCTTAGAGGATAAATATCCTAAGACAAGGCCTACATCCACGAGGAAGAAAAAGAAAGAACAGTTCGGTTTCGCTCTGTTTCATCCATAAAGCATTATCCTTAAAACTTATAAATGTTAAGATAGATAAATTACTATTATGATAGCGATTCGATGAGTAGAATAGTAATTTATGTAGCGAAGAAAATTTGGCATTAACTAGATGAACCTATACCTATACACGGAGTGATATATTTTATCGCTAGTATATCTTACTGTATAGGGCCTATTCTCTAGGTATTTTTTTCAAACCAGTTAAAGTATCAGAAGCGTGTAATGAATAATTAGTTCTATTTGAATTACGATATTTATAGAATAAAAGAAATTATGTTTTTTTTTGTTATAAACTTACCTTCTTTCTTGGTTTTATCTTTGATTTTTTACATCTTTTTCCTAAAAGGTCTGGACAACTTCAGGCGGTAAAAATCCATCACGTTAATAGAACTCCATGTAATCTGCAAGAGTTATTACTTTAATATAAATTTCATTTTATTTTGCAAATATTTGCTTAATTTAATTATCAAATGAAAAAAACATCTTTGCGTTCTACTACTTTGTTGATCTTTCTAAGTACCTTTGAAAAAATGTGTATCATTTTTAATTAAAAGTATAATTCAACTTATAAGCTCTCTTAAACATAAACAAATTTGCAATTTTTATTTTTATTTTTTCAGCAAATAACTCGTTAATTTCGTAAAGTAAATTGCAAAAATAGCTACAAAACGTAAAACCAAAGGGAATAAAAATAATTAAGAATTAATAGGGTGAGAAAGGGCCATTTTTCAAAGTAAAAATACCGTTAAAAGGCGTAAAATTTTTCAAATTGTGTTTAGAAACTGGGTTTAAACAGTTTAAAAAATGAAAAAAATATAAATATAAAGAAATTTAAAAAATAAAATAATTAAAGAATTTGATGGTTAATTATTGAATATTACCATTAATAAATACGTTTATAAAGTTAAAAATATACAGTAGACTGTTGATATAATAAAGAATTATGCATAAGTACTGCTATTTTTTATGTATATATATGAACCCTTGAAGCGAATGAATGAATTATAACAGGTGAAAAGTAAGGTTTAGGTACTTAAAAAGGAAAATCGGAGTTAATTAAATACTTCAACAAAATGAAAATTTGGAGAATTTTAATTACAGTATAATTAAAATTTTCGAAATTCGCTTTAAATATTACATTAGATAATGATTTTAAATAAAACATAATTACATGATTTTTTATTATTATAATTATACTAATTAATGTTCTAAATTATTATTATAATAGGTAATTGGCAACCGCATTTAAAATGGAATCAAATTATAAAAGATAATTGCGTAAGTTACGATTTAAAAATAATAAAATTAACTAATTAAAATGAAAATATTATTGTCATATCATAAAAATTACAAAAATGGCTAAAAAAGAGAGAGGGAGAAAGAAGTAATAAAAATAAAGATAAGATTTTAATAACGAATAAATTATTAGAAAATTCAACATAAGAATAATTTTATTTTTGGCAAATTTTTCAATTTGTTAAAATTATTAAAGTAAACTTTGAGAAAATCTTCAAAAAAATTTTTTTCTTTAAATATTTTTATACAAGTAATAAAATATTATAATCTTATACATGTATAGAAGGTCTGTATGTCTGTTCTCTATATTCTTCTAAACCCTTTGACCTATCTGCACAAAAGTTACGTTCTAGGCCTGCGAAAAATACAAGCTACCACAAAACCTCACACCCCACTCTCCCCTGATTTCATCCCATATTAACGCCTAAATCCTTTGATCCACCTTGACAAAGGGTTAATAGGGGGGCTAACTTTTTCAGTTACTCTCTATCCAGATCCGGACACTCCCTCTCTCCCGATTTAATTTCTTTGACATTTTCTTATCAACTATCTATTTGCCCGGCATTTCTGCTAGTTATTAATAAAATAAAATTAAAATTAAAAAATTATAAACAAAAATTTTAATGTTTTACATATAAAAAGTTTATAGATTTAAAGTTATAAATTATTTATTTATTTGGTTTTTTAAATAAAAGGGAAGATGAGAGACGTTCACTAGAAAGACTTCAATCTTAAATCATCGCATGAAGTTATAAGGTTAACGAAACGAAGGGATGAGAAGTGATCGTAACAGCACTATTTTCGATACATAAATAATCAATTATTTTAGAACATGCGAGAATAATGTCAAATTTTACGTTTAAATATGGAAAGATCGTGATATATTGAGCATCACGATCTTTCCATTATCGGAACACGCAACGCTTTGTAGCTATACCGGTTAATTACAAAATATGCTATTAAAATCTATTGTAAAGGTGGTAAAAATCAGCAGAGTGGACAATATTGGCTTCACGGTCCACATAAATTCATCAGCGATTCTTCCTTCCATCAGATCTTTCCTTAGATAACGTTCCTTTTTTTTTAGCAATTGTCTAATGGAACGAAAAGCCTTCGGCAGTTAATGCCATTCCGCTCGTAAAATACTCGTTACTTCCCACGTAACTTATTTATTCGACAATTAAATCAAAAATTAAATATTAAATATTAAAATATCCTTTAATTAAAAACATTTTTTTCTAGAATTATCAGCCGTTTCTTTTCTCTTCTTATTTCGATAACGTTAAATAACTTATTTTCTTTTGTCTCTTCTCTTCTTTTTCGGTAGATCAATTTTCACTAAATTTAATTAAAATTGCCTTCTTACGTCTTTTTTAAGCTCATTTTTTGCTTAAAGCATTTGTAATACGAATAAATATGTATATTAAAAAAAAGGAAGAAACGATCGAGTTAAGACGTTTCTTTCCATTGTAACTGAGGAATTCCGAGTGTTTGGTGCTCTTTTTTTTCTTTCTTTCCGTTCCAAGATATTAATTGACGATGATTACAATAAAGATAATTTTTAAATAACGAGGAATATGCAAATTTCCAAGCTGTTATGAATAACAAACGAGTACACCGAGGAAGGAACTGAATTCGATTCTCTTTTAATGTACGGGAAGTCATAAAATGGCACCACCCCGGTCATAAAACACTTACTTTTACGAAATATCTCCCTTTAATGAATAATTTCCTGCTCTTTTCTCCTTCTCTTGTCTAAAACTTCGACGAAAATTCAAATTTTTTAATGAATTTTTCGAGCTCATTAGTTATAAATAAAAACAGATTCGTTATTAAATACGATATCTTCTCGTTATTTTAATAATTGAGATGAAAACAGTTTCATATCCTAGCAAAAATTCCCGTCCTTCTCTCGATTTCTTCTTCCGCAATTTTCACTAATAACGCAGAAACTCCTTTAAGAACCGAATTTCGAAAGTAGAAATGTGCATTTAAGTGACCAAGAAAGACACGTAAGATCAGAAATTCTTTTTGTGTATAGCAATCGTTGTAACTGGAAAAAGAGTTATAGATCCCCCCCAAAGAACCGTATTTACTTCAATATTCTCAGGTTTTTCTCGATAAAATGATTTTCAATACAACTTTCCTGAAAGAAATTGCCTCTTCCGATCGAATTTTCGAGAACTTTTATATAGTTATCTGCCATTAAAACGTATTTTTCCAATCGTTTGCCGGTTAAATGACTGGTTAAAATTCCTATATTTTTCGCTCTCTCTCTCTCTTTTTTTTTTTATTAAAAGTAAGTACGGATACAAATGGCTAAAATCCAGGCTTCCAATGGTAGATGGCATCGATTATTCCACTATTTATTCTAAAAATACATTTTACGAATGAAGTTATTAAGGTAAAAATGCATTAAATTCCGCATTTTTAGGGAAATTTTCTGTTTTCGAAGGCCGTCGTTATCTCCAACGATTAAAAACTTTCCCTAGAAAACGAAAACTAACACGAAAATATCTTCGTTTATCCCGAATTTATCAGAGCGGAAAAATTTCACTTTTTATATTCCAATTTAAAATTATCGAAAAGGAAAATTCGAGACGACTTAAAATAAACATTTTTTTTTTTTCAAAAAATTTCCATCATATTTTCATTTTTATAAATTATAAACGAATATAAATGACATTTTCGTCCTTCGGCCGTTCTCTCGTTGAATTGTCGTATATTTACATAACGCGGTAATTCAAATACCTAAACGGAATAATTGCATTTTACGGACTTTCTGACCTTTACGTAATCGTTTCATTCGCAGAAAAAATAGAAAATTTACACGTCAATCTATCGTGAGGCCTTCCCGTTATGCGCTTATGCCAATTGATTCGTGCGTACATGTGCATAACACTCGAATCGCGATAAAGTTCATATAGGTCTATGTTTTTAAACATAATTAAGCATTGTAATTAAGCTACCGATAGTTAATTAACTACATTAAATATTTAAATAATACAATATTGAATGACGTTCAGAATGACGACATTTTTGTGCGCGTATCAACGGAAGCTTTAAGCGCTTATTAATTTCTTGAATTTTCCGTATATAAAATAATTTCTACTTGAGGCCCCTTAAGCTAATATGGCCTCAATCAATTATATATATTTTTCTCACAGGAGAGAATCTTTTATAAGTAAATCTTACTCTTAGTTTGATCGGGAAATTTTGTATGTGTTGATGGTAAAATTTTGTCATTTTCCGTAAATATGGCGAAGTGAAAATGTTAGAGGATTTCTTGCGAGAAAATCACCGTAAAAATAAGCTAGATACACGTACAGGTAGGCTTTCCGTCGTTTGTAGTAGAATCAGTTGATAAGATCTGTACGCTCGACGCCATAGTCGATAACGAAATTATCTAAACACATCTATAATCTCGTTAATATTTCCGGTATTCTTCTTTCTCTTTACCAATATCGATCTAACAGATCATTCAGGATGATAATTTAAAAATAAAAAAAAAATGTTCTACCTGGTCTGTTAGAAAATTCGTCCTCGACCTTCGATGCCGATTATCTAACATATCTCTAAGTTTAGATAGGAAAGTGGCTTCGAAAAATATCAAAAATATTCTGATATGTTTTGTAATTTCTATTTTCGTAAGAAGTTGGACGTTTTTGGCAATCTTCCACAATTTGTTTACAGTTCGAATCTTTTTTTTAGAGGGGAGGAAATATGAAAACAGTAAAACTGACGTCGGGCGTAACTCGTTAACCGAAACGTGCAGCGTCACGTTTAAAATAGCCAATAAAAAAATAAAAATAAAAATAAAAGCCATTTCATTCGTCCTTAAATTTGAAAATATAAAATCGATTTATGAAGGCACTTCATAATAAGAAAATTCAATTGCTATCAGATTATCATCAGAATACTTACTCTTATAGGAAAACCCGTTAAGCCAAGGTAATTGAAAATATCAAAAGAAATAATTTTTTTTTTTAAATGCCGAAAATCCAAGTAAAATGTATTTTGGCCTTGAGAATTTCAAAGAAATCAAAGAATTAAAAAAAATGACGCGCATAGAAAAGTAGTGACAGAATAATAATGAAACGAGATAACGGTAAAAATTTAAACTAATGGCGGAAAATAAATCATGGAGGATGGCGAAGAATGCAAAATTAGATAAGAGACGAAAACGGTAATCTCATATTTTCTAGGGAATTTAAATGACACGGAAGATAGAAGAAATTGTTGAATACGGCCAAGAAAAAAATAATGAAAATTAAAAGTTATTAATCTTTGTTATAAAACATCGATCGAGCAATAGAAAGAAATACGTTTTTTTATAAGCCGGGTAAAAGAAACTACTAAAGTTATTAATTAATACTGTATAAAGTTAAAGATACCGAGATATAATTAAAAAAGGACTAGTCACGCGTTGCATTAAAATCATCAGAAATAGGATAAAAATCGGCAAAAACGTACATGTACAGTACAGTACATAGGATAATAAATCAGCGAATTGAAAATTACATAATAATAATAATAATTTGAAGATATATTGATTGGATGCGTTGCACTGATACAACTATAAATCTAGTCTAGTTACGGCCTTCAGACCGTTTCTTCTAGGAAGGAGGTAATCGAGACAACAAAAAGTTTGTTTATTATAAATTATAAGCAATGTGTTTATCTTAAGGAAATTTTCATGTTAAATATAGTAGCCTATATAGTCGACATTAGCTTAGTTTGAAATGTAGAAGTCTTGAAATTACGCGACTCCTTCGCCCTTTCGTTTTTAAATTAACACTCATTTTTATATCCTAACAAAAACCAATTTACTTGGCTTTCTAATTTTTTAAAATTTTAAAATTTTCTTAATAATCCTCCAATAGGATTTTTTCAAAGATACAAAGAATTTTTACAAAGATGTTATTTCAATTCGTATCTTAAATTAATTTCGTGGTATTTTATAACCGTTTATTTTTCTTAATTTCGTGTGTATAAACTTTCTGCTTTGGTAAATTATAGCCGGAAAACATTTTATAATCGACGTTGGCTGCATGTTACAAAACTTACGAATTTGTAGCAAAAGTGCTTTCCAGATATTGATATCTGGCCATAAATTGAAAAGTGCTTTCCAGATATTGATATCTGGCCATAAATTGAAAAGTAGTGTGGTACCGCCGTGTAACTGATATCGACTATAGGCTATATATACTTTATATAAGAGTTTGATTCTATCTTCTACATGTTATTGAAATATTCTACGCAGTAAAGCCCTCTTACATTCTCGCTCCGACAACTAAAATAGGATTTTTCTAATAAACTTAACGTCTATAATCCTTACTAAAAGTTGAAAAATGTTTAACAGATAGCAAAAAAGTCATTCCGCTTTAAAAATGCATTATTTATCATTATTATTTTATCGAATTTAATTCGAACAACGGTTAGTGAACTTACGTAAAGCACGAAAGAATATATAATAATCAATATTAATCTGTCACAAACGCTCTTATTGATTTAGTAGGTTATTTTACTCTGTAAAAATAATCATTTCAGTTCTTCAAAAACCGTTCTAAATATTTAAACTCGTAAAAATTATTATTAAATTAATTATTTTAATAAATTGCGTCCTACTTTAATAATACAGTATTTGCTACAAGATAACAAACCTCAGTATTTGCAACACATATGAATTATAGTAATTAAGTATCAAGCAAGGTCGCATCCACGCATACAATAGAATTAAGCGCACCGTGATACACTGGCACACACAAAAAAGAGACGATAATGACAATAGATCAAATATACAAGTGTCATTATACAAACGACGGTCGGTACAGTCACGTTTTGTCATCTCTTCACAATATCTCCTACTGACCTTTAATAAGTAATAAAAGTTAAAGACGGATTAAACGGCGTATAATAGGCGATTCGACCGAGCATAACACGGTTATTACTTTGTTACGCGTCTTAAAATATGCTCGTTTCGACTGTTGAACCGAGTTACAATCGATTCTACTTTTAATATTATGTTAATGGATAATTTTTCCGAATGTTTCTTTTGTTCTTTGCGGTTTTCACAAAGTTCCAACCCTTTAACTTGAGTTTCAAAAAAACGAGATTCTCACGTACCATTCATGAGAATCTCGTTTTTTAGAGTTACTTGCTTACTAAATCAATGAAAATTATTTAATTTTGGCAAGTTAATATTGATTACTTTGTCTTTTCTTTCTTTACTTTCCTGAAATTTTCCCGTCATCTACATTTCCGGACAGGTAAGAGAGCGAAACAACTCAGTCACAATCAAGGACGAATACGCCCAAAGTAACACGTCACTTAAAATGAGTTACTTAGCATTAAAAAAAGTATGATACTAACTTCATATTATTTCATAAAATTCTGAATAATTTAAACTTTCGTACGACTTGTCATCGGTTATGATACTTATTTAATTATAAAACAACTCCAAGAGATTCACGCATAGCCTACGTACAGTACATTGAATAATACATGTCGAGTATTCGAGTGCATGCAACCGGTACTCGAAAAATCGATTGTTAAAATATCGATTTAAAAATTTGTATTCAAATATTAAATAACGTAAATAGGCCTGAAAATTATTATTATTTTTTCAGATAACAATATTCTATTTAAAACAATTGAGATGAGTTTTTCATTTACAATCTAATTATAAGTCGAACTTTTGTCATAAAAAAAACACTTAACGTAAGCTTAAATAATTACTTTAATATAATTAATTATAATACCGTAAATATATTTAATTATGAAAGAAATTAGAAAAAACTGTTACGCTGTTACGGAATCGTAAACGTATCGGCTAAAGCGCGATTGTCCTTATAACGAAACTTTTGTTTAATTACAGGACGTTTTCGCGTTATTTCAGTAAATTATGTCGTTATAACGAAGTTTTATATATATGTGTGTATGTATAATTAATAAGAGGTAGGTTATATTTAAAGGAATTTGCAATATAGTTAGATTATAACTGAATTGTATTAAACGAAACCATAACTCGTTGTAGCGTAACTTTTCGTTTTAAAAAAGGAATTTTAAAGAATCAACTATCTTAAATCGATCGATTAGGATGTGGTGACTTTTCTGTTTACGTCACACGGGATGAAAGCCGCTTTCGTCCCTTAGCAACGAAGGCAGCTAGTGAAATACTTCACCATTTCACGCTTCCAGGAATCCGAAAAATATCTCGTATTTTTTTTCCTCCTATCGAATATAATTATAAAAAAACATTTAATATTTGTTCGAGTTCGCGATTCTATTTGTATAGAGTCGAATATTTGCTTAAGATTATTTTAATATCGTTCGCCACATCCCAAGTTTGCGTGAGGAGGAATATCTGCCAAAAAAAGAAAATCGGTAAAGAGGAGTTGGGCGCCGTTTTTCTAAATCAATTTTCTATCCGTTCGTCGTGTAAATGTTAAATTTGTGACAGTTTATATACAGTTTTTTTGGGCGATTTCTTTGAAACTTCGAGTTTAGGGAAGTAAAATTAATTGTCTGTTTTCCGCTTGATACTAAAGTAATCGATTAAGGAATCATCCGGAATTGTCTTTTCTGTTTGAAGAGACCTTGACCAAATCAATAAGAAATCTAATTTTTAAAATCTGTAAATAATTTCTGATTAAATTTCCATTCAATAATATGGAATTTTTATAAATAAAATAATTATTTTCCTTATTATAAAATAACTATTTTAAGATTTTAACCGATTTTACTTATAAACCGAGCATTAAAATTCGAGTTAAACTGCAAAACTTATTATAAAAATATAAAGGAAAAATTTAATATAATAGAACAATGAATAATTGACATTTATTGAATTTTATAACACTTCCTTTATAGTAAAATAAACAATAATTCCTTATAATTCTATCAATTTTTTCTCTATTTATTCCTTTATAAAATCTGTTTAATCATTAAAAGCAAAAACAATCGTTGTTCGATATATTTTATTTAACATTTATGTAAAAAATAAGAAGCTATTTACTATATTATTATTATTATTATTATTATTATATAACACTGTTTCTATTTTAAAAATTAAAATGAGTATATAACCAATAGTAACAGTTATAAATCATAAAGAAATACACAACTAGAGACTATAATTAATTATTCACGTTTAGAAAAATAATGTATACGAGAACGAACGGTTTTTATTGACAGTAATAACACACGTGAATGTGTGGAGAAATGTCATTCGACGATAAGACACTGCCTAAATGTCAAAGATAGCTGCGTGCCGTACGGAACATTTATTACACTAAAAATCTAGAATGACAGAAAGATACGCAAGAAACCGCTAAGAATCTTCATTAATTTTATATGTCGAAACACGTATATATATTCGAGCCAGCGATTAACACGCACTACATGCGGTACTTCCCCTGATTGATCTTTTAAATATAACTAAAGCTATAGGAAAAAAGAAGAGAGAGAGGAGAGGCAGAAAGAGGAGATATGAAACGAAACGCTTCTCACCTGGACGTGACGCGAAGGAGTCGAGCGTATCTCACCTTCATTGCTTCTCCTTCAATCAGTGCCTGTTGCTTACGTCACAATAGCGTTCCCGTAGGCCGTGCTTTCCAAACAACCAATGGTCGATCAATTAGATTCTGGTTGCAAACACGGCCGCTTGGGGAGCTAGTGCGGCAGGCGGCTTTAGCTCGCGTGTCTCTACCACATATAAATTGATTCCTCTGGTTTCTCCGGACTATAAAGTTGCGAGAAGTTACTCGTAATTAGTCTGCGTTACTCACGTGATACGAAAAACGCAGTGGTGAAAGAATCCATTTGTAATATTTTTTTTCCTTCTTTCCTACTTTTTTCCTCTGGCGTGCCGTTTGAATGAATACGTGCACGTAGTTTAAATTTTAATCGTATTTAAAGTCGAAGAATTTTCTATATTATGCAATTTCCCCGATTGAATTTCTGTTATTGAAACCGATACGTGTAATCGAAAACCGAGTTAAGTGAGTTACGAAAAGCAATTTAGAGAGAAAGAGAAGCTTCTTCTATTTTATATAATTATATTGAATATTTTTGTGGATATAAAAAGAAATTAATTAAAGGAACAAATATTATTTTTATTATGAATTTCCGAATGTAATGACCTACAGTAAAATGCAACGATGTATGATTCTTTCCGAATGAAGTTTATGAGACGTAGCGACGATAAAAATGTCTATAACTGATTTTCAGTCGTCGGGATATAACAAATGGATAATTCTTATTGCTATTAGATGTATTAATATCAATAGTTGCCAGTCGTTTATAACTTTCCTATTACCTTCCTTAATCAGAAAATTTCATATCTTTAAGAAATATTGTAATTGTGGCACCATTAAAACTCCTTTCTAGAGCAATGGCCGCCTTTAAAAAATCACTAAAATGAAGGACGTTCGAGTAACGTTTCCCTAGATCTTACGTAAAATTACGTATAGGCTTTATATTGTACGCAGTAAAATCCGTATTTGCTAGGAATTCACACTTTTGTAAATGTAAGAAAAATAAGTTTGAATGTGGAATGATTTAATGTATAAAGAAATTCGAAGAATATTTTTTACAGGCTTGACCTAGAATTAGTAAAGTATTGAAATCTTTCCCTATAAATTATATCATCCAATACAGATACGTTCCATTTCTGTAATTGTCGTAGCATTAAGACTTCAGTTCCAAAATGGTAAAACCCATTTAGGTACAAAAAATGTGAAGAGAATGTTATTTTATATGTAAAAAAATCTGTGATAGAATATAGGAAAGTGTTTTCATTTTAACAACAAATAAAAATATAAATACTTAATTAATTTATTCAATTATTAATTATAACGATTATTATACTATTAGATTATATGTATGTAAGTAGTATTTATTCTATTCGATTGTATTCTAAACTATTGTTTACAAAATTCTAATTCATGTGTATATAGGCACTGTCGTGTGCATAACAGTTTATTTTCTGTTCAATCAATCGAAAAAAATAAACAGGTCTTACACCCTTAAGTTTAAATAGTATAACAGTATAATTTATTTACAGGACTAACTACATTTTGTATTATTAAATGTAATAATTATAATTAAAATAATGTTTAATAATATACAAAGAATGAAGTAGTAACCGCAGTAGACTTACCTGTTTTATAGTTTGCAACAAGAATTCTTGACTGTTATTCTTCTATTCGTCAGTTGCGTTAGATATGGATGGATGATCAAATATAATTCAGGTTATTTTAAAAATTTACTCGTTGATTATTCTTTACAACAAATTCGTTTAATTTTTACCATAAATTTCTTTATTATCAATGTTGAGTTTTATGATACTTTAAGATGAATGTATGTTGTTTATGTACGTTTACATTCGATTTTATCACATTCTACGACCATAAGAATTATGTAAGCGTGCTATATCCAGTGAAGTTTTCCACCAATACAAAATTTACTAATTCTCTTTAAGCGAATGGATAAACGCCTATCACTCACGACTATACCATAAAAATTTTAAACCTATCAATTATATATTTTTATTACAAAATTACGCTACTTGACAACCCAAATCGGATGCCGAGACGTGAGGATTTACAAATTATAGTTTAAAAAAACTGTATATTAAGCTATATAATTTGTAAATCTTCACATCTCAGCATAGAAATTTAATTTTTATAAGCGAATATAATTGAATATTCTCGTTTTTGATAGGAAATTTAAATAAAGTATATTAAAATCCAATAAAATCTTTCGAAATCGCGATTTCGAGACAAAAGGAGCTGTAATCCATAACTGAAAAATCGATTTTCTGTAGCGACATCTCGTCATATCGATATCAAACAATTGTTCTAGAAAATTAATTTCGATACCCGAGATGATAAATCATTTTTAGTAACATAAACCACCAACAAATCACTATACAAACAGAAGAGAAATGAAGGTAGTAAAGTTTTTTCTTTGGTTGATATGGCAGAATAGATTTCCTTAACAATTACATGAGAGATTTCTTTCAATTGTATGAGATGAGATGGATTTTGAAAGACTTAACAAATATCACCTAATGTATTTTATGGAAGGGGGAATGAGAAATGGTATAAAATCGAATAGGCATGATTGAGAATTCTACAAACAGTCAATATTTAACTTTATAAATCGGGTGATTTCGTTGAAATGAATATAAAGCGAACGAGTTTATAAAATAAAACTATTGTTATAATAGAAGATTTAAATTATAAAACCTTTATAAAATATTTTTATTATATTATTTTTCAATTTTTTTAAAGTTAATTTTATTTTCGAGGTTTTCGTCTTAGAGAATATAATCAAATCTTAGCGTGAAATAGTCTCTTTTTTCGTAAAATCGAATTTTTCTTCTGGCGGATGTCACTTGAATCACATTATCAAGAAGGAAATATGAAACTCGCTTCTGCAGAATTGCCGTTATGTAATGAGAGGCGCCATCTAGTGTTAAATTCGAAATAATAATAATTATTATTGCAGTATTATCAAAGTCAAATATAACAAATAGATTTCACAACGTCTTATATGAAATTAAACCGGAAATTTTTTTAAAAAATACAATTATAAAAACTTTGCAATTTATATTATTATTTTCTTTTTCCTATAAAATAAATATGTGAACATTTTCAAAAATATACACGAATTTAATTATTTAATTTAAAAAAATGTATTTTAATTTTTTTATTAATAAATTGGATATGTAGCTCTGCCATCTATCGACTAATAACAAAAAGAAAAACAGAATATAATTGTGCCATCTGTCGAGTAAACAAGAAAGTAAAATTGAACTATGATAATAGAGTATTTATGTTATACATTTCGCGTAATTATGAAGACTAAAATAAATACAATATTTACGCAAAATTTATTTCATTTTAAATGAATAATAAAAATTAAAGAAAATCCATAGGTAGAATTACGAAGATGTTTTCGTCTTCTTATACGTAATAGTTATAGAAACGAAATTTTTAGCATAGAATATAGTTTATTATTAATACAAGTCGTGAATTCTTTTTTGGCAATCCAAAATATCGTGCGTTCCGCATCGAGTAGTCATAATTTAGGCCATTTCTTTCCTCGGTCGCTTATCTATCATCCTTCTTCTCTTTGTTCTTTCTTCTGTTGGAAGATACCAAGGGCATTTCTTTACAGATAACATTCCAATCTGAAACTTCCTTTCAAAACTATATTTTAAAATCATTTTTATCTCGGATAAAATCAATACCGTAAATACGCACGCTCAGAATGGAATGCGCGAAATCGTTGCATACGTTTACGCACCGATTTGTTTTTTTATATCTATGTTTATTTAAACTGATAATTATTTCTGGAAACTGTTGTAGTAAAGCTTCTTTAAAGAATCGACACTACTACAACAACGTATACAGATAAAGGAGAAAAAAAGAAAAAGATTCTTAAGACAGGATTGAATAAACAGTCATTCTAGTAGTTATCCACTTCGATAAAAGCTATTTGGTCCTTTAGGTAAACATAATCCGCTTAAAACTCACTCCTGGTTTCTTTTTTCCTTACAAAGGATCTCAGTTTCGGTTTTTAATCAAGTTTTTTCTTTATTTTTTTAATGGAATTAACAAATATTAACCTACGTTTTATCAGTTTTAGCTCTAATTTTAAAAAAATTGAAAATATTCGCTAAATTTACATAAATATCTAACATGTTATTATTATTATATTTCATCTAATTTTGAAAGATTTCGCTTTATTAAAAACATACAAAAAGAAAAAATTTGTCATTTTTATGACAATTCGGCGGACACAAAAAAGCCAGGCAATAATAAAGTTCTTTAATTTAAAATAAAGAAAACCCATAGATAAGAGAACATCATTTTTCTTTCGAGTGATTTCTATTGACAAGAACAATAATTGATGCATTCTTTGTATAGCTAGCAAAAGGCATGTCATTGTCTAGTTTCCCTTTGTTCCGACATCTTCATTCGCAATCTGTAATTAGTAGTGTTATAGGGTTGACAAAACTAGTGCCCCGGACAAATGGCACAGTCGTGACTGTTCGTATATATAAAAATAAACACAGGAATAATTTTAAAAAACGATAATTAACCGAGTGGTCCACGTAGTGGGATAAAAACTTAATGATAATCCAATTATAACCGTCTTCCCGGAACATCCAATTGGGACTTTTGAGTCGGGGTGGCTGGTTATAAATAAATTATTACTTTCTACACCAGGATGTAAATAATAAATATATTGCTCCCCGTTTGTTATAATTAATTAATTTAAACTAATATATTAATTAAAACTAGTATAGGAGGAAAAAACTAATAAAAGTTTTAAAACTATTTTACGATTTTAAAAATTTTCCAGCAGATGGCGCCAGAGCGAAATGCTATAAATTTTTATTATTTATTTTTAAAAATATTAATAAAATTTCACACGTAAAAGTAATTTGGCATTTTCAAATTTTTTAATCTAACAAGTAAGAGAAAATAATTAAAAGTATATAAATAGCTTATTTTTTTCTTTAAGCGTGTAATTCTATAAGAAGAAACAATCGATACATTCCTAAAAATAATTAATAGAATCGGTGCAGAGGATTTCGATCTATTTTAGTCCATGGCTTTAAGCAATAGACATCATATTTATTATAAAATATAAAATCTTTTAATTGAATAAATTTGTAAAAATATAATTGTATAAAGTGCAAAACGGGATTTAAACTTTTTTTAAGTTTTAAAAATGAAAAGTATTTTAATATTGATCCACTTTTGTTCGCTTAATTTGCTACCGGCTAAATTTAATTTTACAGAATGGTGGCGCTATAAATTCATTTATGGCATCAGATTCAAATGAATTTATATCCCCGACATAAATTCGTTATCGTGAATTT